TGCAGGCTGGGATCAGGTGCTACCGATGTTGATGATGAGAATTTATCCAATTAGATGAGTGAAGCTGCGAATGGATCAGATGTAATGAAATGTCATGACTCACAAGTCATGAATGGTGGATGGGATCAATTCATGACATTCGAAGACTGTGATGGGATTCATTAGGGAAAAGGCTTTCCAGTTGTTCAAAATAGAGATTCGGGAGCCGCTCCGAGCTACAATCCGTCTTCTCGATCTGCGGAGCCCCGAACCGAGTTTGCGAAATCCACTCTATCGGTTGATGAGCCCAATTGAGTTTTCCGCTGACGCTCGTGCGGTGGCCTCTCACCAGGAGGGTCAGCGAGCTCGTTCATCCATATGACATTATTCTGAGATTACGTAATTGTCCGCCATCATGAACACGATATGGCTGCGATATTATGCAGCTGCGATCTCCGTTCATAAATCCGTCACACGGGCTCGGCATCCGCCTGAGCCCAACTCCGAATTATCGGTTGTCGTAGGATCCGATTCGTCGCATCCTTACGTGCGCCAGGGTGACGATCGCCTACGCAGGGGGAGTGCTCCGAGAGTCCACAGTGCTACAAAGCGACTCAGCGAACGCTATTGAGAAGTTTCATCATCAGGGCCGCAATCTACACAAGTTGTTTGCGGAGCTGTCTTTGGAGTTCCCTCAATTCTTCTCGGTGGCAGAAGCTCCGACAGTCCCACTAGCGGATTCGATGGAGGTCGATCCGATCGATAGCGTCTAAAGAATCCAGCATTGAGTTTGTACTCATAGAATGAGCGTGAACATTCTCATCGCATCGGCGCCCATCTCTCGAGCTTTGCGCCCCTGCTTCTGTATCTCAAGCCCCATACTGAGCAGCGCGGCATCAGAAATACAGGAACATTGAATCACCATGGGGTTCGGCAGCCAATCGGAGCTCCTGCGTCGGATCATCTTCCTCTTCGTTTCGCTCGGAGTCGCGTCTCCCGATAATGCTTTCGAGCGCAGCGTTCAAAGGGAAATTAGAGAGATGCTTGCATCAAACGATCTCCGGACTGCTCCTGTGCTCGTAAACCTCAACTGCGGTCTGGGACCTAAGTTCATCGATGAAATTATCGCTTCGCATGTGATTCCCTCGCTAACAATCGATTTCGATCGCAGGTTCTCGATCAACAAGATCGTATCATACTCGAGGGTGTTCTCGACGAAGACCAAGGGCGGTCGTTTCAACCTGGGCCTCTTCTGCCAGCCGCCCGAAAGGGAGCTCCAAGCGGACTTTAGGCTCCGGCTCGACGCCTTGTTTATCAATATGGCGGTCCCAATAGATAGTTTCGCCCTCGTGTGGATTTTCAGGGAGCGGCGCCTTTGTGGACCCAAGGAGGCAGTATTTCTCGAGAGTTTGGTGCGAGTCTACGCTTTTTGGGACAATGAAACCAATGACATGTCCGTGCAGTGTTCTTTCGGTGCGATTAAGAAATGGTACAGCAACTATCTCGATATGACCATCGTGGAACAAGATGAATTTTTCCGATTAAGGGACTTGAGGCTTGATCGAACATCTACCCGTAGTCTTGATGTCCATAAACTCGAGCTTGAGCGAATAATCCGCGCTCTGAGGCTCGCGTCAGGGACATATGTAGAGCGACACTGGCTATTCCATTTGAAACTTCGAGAGGCCATCGGATCTAATTTCTCCATCGAAGTGGACCTCCGCAACTCACCCGCAAGGGCAGATCACCGATCGCCTATCGACTACTCGCGATTCACAACTCACCATGCCCTGATCGCGGTAGCCAGAGTGCCTCCTGGCAGCGGGATACAACGAATGATCCGGTCACTTATCCGTGCAAGCATTCTGCTGCCACTGATATCAGCTTCTTTGGCTGCGGCTTTTGCGCTGAGGTGCATGAAGGAGGACTTCGGAGCGGTTTTCTTTCGTCTGAATATCTGCTTGATCTACTCCATTTCATTCGAGCTCGTTAGGAGGTCGAAAAAAGTGCTCCTCATTGTGGGGACATGGATCATGTTGTTGCAGATCATCAGAGCCGGATTACAAGGGGACGTGACGGCTGCGTTGCAACGATTGCCAGACGAACGTATTACATCGATTCGGAGCTGTCAAAAGCTCTATGACACAACGGTACCCGAAGAAACAAAAGGCTACATCGTGCCCTCCTCTTTATTCGAGTTCTTCTCGGTCGGCGTGGCGGCCATCGTGCGTGGTCATGTGATATGTAAAAATGAGCAAGGACTCGGTCCCCTGCACGAAGAGTTCTTGAAGCATATCCCGATGTATCCAGTGGAGACGACAGAGGAGACTACCGAGAACCTGATTCTCACGGGAGTGCGAGTTGAATTCCGCCACGCTCAAGATCAGAGACCACCTCTTTTCAAGCGAGAGAAAGATCCTTTCCTTTTCTCAAGGATACCGGGATTCAGCGCCACTCGAGTCGCGCACGCAGCTCTCAGACATGCTTTGTTAAAGAGAGTCTATGTGGACGAACGTTGGGCCGTCGATCGACGAGATTTTGACCGACAGCTCAATTTGACTCTGGAACAGCCGCTCTCCCCCTCGTACGGTGACAAGATCTGCAAGTATTGGGAAACTTGCGACTTCGGTAGATGCTTCAGGTTGGATGACCTCCAGCCGGGAGCAGCTCGAGAGAACTTACTGTCCGGAGATTATGCGAGCTCAGCTCTGCTATTCGCTTTCTTCGTGGCGATGAGTGTTCTGCTGTTCGTTTCGGAAATCATTACCTATCGGGACTCCCAGGAGCTGTCTCGACGATGACAGCTCCCGTGGGACAGGGATCCCGAACGATGCGCGTCATGAAATCTCCCGCCAGCTACGATTGGATTCGTAAACTTCGAAGATTGATCGATTCGTATGAGACTAGGAAGGGGCGGCTACGCTCGAGTGAGGGGACACGAGCTCCGATAATTCACGTTTCCTCACCGCCGGCCGAGTCGAATGTCATTCACAGTTAAGCCTGCCTCATGAGTCGCTCTCGCTGCTCTTTCGAAGTCCAATAACTCAATCCTCGAGAAGTCTACTCGAGGAGGAGCCGAGTGCTTCGATGCGCCTGATATGAAAACCCTGTAATATCAGGTCCATCATGCCAGTTCAAGCATATGTTCCGGGCTAAGCGCTTCTGATGAAGGACTTTCATATGGACACATTTCTATTCATGGATTCGGAGCATTTGATTTGTGGAACAAGATGCGGGAAAAACTCATTATCGCGGATCCGTCGACGTCACCCATAGAGGAGTCGAGTCCCTCCACAGAGGAGTCGATCGCAGCATAGACGAGCGGATGCGGCACCGGCGCTTTCGCATTGTCGGCCAGCTCTTTCAGAATTCTCCAGTCCCAAGGCTGCCGGCCTTAACTCCTCGTGCAATGTGCTCTTCCCCATATCCGTCAGAAGCCGCTCGGGGTGACGCCGCTCGCGCGGGAGCCGACGTCGGTTCGGTCCCTGTCGGCCTCCCCTAACAGAACTCCCGAATGGAACAGCAGGTCCCGGCCGTGATGCACCCGGGAACAATTGTTTCCGGGATCCATGCTTAAAAGCAATACCTGTCGGCGATCCCCTGGACATCGGACTTTGGCTGTGCGGTCCGGTCCGGGGAATGTTCCAGCTGCCAGGCTGTCGCGCTCCGATCCTCGAACACAGACATAACAATTGGATATGATGGACGCAACCCTCCTTCTCAGGAGCAGAATTAGCTTTTTTGACGAGACCTTTTCTATTCTCGGCCCCCATGTTCCGGCATCACTTGAGCTCTTGGACATCGCTTCGGCTTTCCGTGCGTCACTCTAATTTATCGTCCGCGAGACGGCATGGGAAGTTCCGACGCGGAAGAGAAGTTCCCATCCCTTTCTAAGCATTGTATTCGTGTCGTTACATTCGAATTTCGGAGTAGAGCCGGACCGAATGGATCGAAATCGGAAGGAACCGAGCCCCGGTGCGCCGGATTCCGGTCCAGCGTCCACACGGTGTCCAAGCCGATCTACAGATCCTGCAGAGTTCTTCCCAACAGGGCTCGTTTAGCTCCTTGTGCTCAGCTCAAGTCCCCAAGGGATGAGAAAGATACGTACGGTAGCATAAAGGATCTCAAGAGGCGCAGTCATCGGCAACACCTCGGAGAACCGAAATCCGGCGATCATAGCCTGCAAATTGATTCCCGATATCTTCGTTTCCTCTTCCGCCGGCAATTCTGCTCCATCTGTATTCCGAACGCTCGTGTGACGTTCCCATTGAAGATGCAATGAGTATGAAGCGTAATTCGCTGGGGGTTCTTGAAACTAGATAATCCTGGGCATTATGATTGAACCCTACGCGATTCCATCAGAAACGGTGCTTGACTTCCCGCGTCGAGAGAAGCTTGAGAGATTGAACGATGGCCAAGCCGAAGCATAGAAGTGTCCCGGTCGATCGGCGGCTCTTTCCGACCCTTCGACCCAGCGTTGCAGTATTTTCTGAAGGCAAAATCGAGATGAATCAAGAATGTAGCGCGACTGCTAAATACAGGATCTCGGCTTCGATGTCCGAACCGTCTCCTGAGGAGGGTAGACCGTATGCTCAGTTTTCGGATCTACTCAGCGGGTCGCCGCGGGCCGAGCGAACCCTCCCCAAAAGATCTCGACATTTATTTATTACCTCCTCGATTCTCATTTCGATTACTACAAAATCGCGTATCGGCTTTCCCGGGACAGATCCTCTGATCACATGGATATCACTAATATCCATGTATTCCGACGATTTAAGTATGCGGCATTCAAACTCGGCCCGCCGAGAAATTCGGTTCGGGTTTTTTCCTTGGTGCTCTTCGGTGCGAGAATCATATCCCGACCTAGCAGCCGAACCCAATTGAGTTAGTGAGTAAAATTTGAACAAACTTAGTAAGTTCAGAGTACGCACAGGGTCTTGAGATCGTCAGGGAACTGAGGAGAGAGGAAGAATGAGAGAGGGGTCAACATGGCGAACTGTGTGTGTTTTTCGCGCCGGCAGCGGAGAAGGAGGCCCGCGCCGCCGACGACGGAACAACTACGACGACATTGTGTTGTCCTCCCCTTCTTCACTTGTCTTTTTCACGTGTGTCCGCGTGAGCACTTGGTGTGCTCATCGACGAAGACAAGCTTCGAACTGTATCACAAAGTTGACTTCGAGCTGGCGTCATGGCCGACGGTGAGACCAAGGAGTTTGATTTCGGTGAGTCAAATCGAGAAACTGGAGAAGAGACTGGTGGCTGTGATGAAATTTCGGCTCGGTAGTGAGCACCGCGCGGACCGGAACCGAATCTCGATCGCACCCTGAATTATGAACATGTGTCCCCTAGAATACGAGATATGAACTCACAGAGTTCCTAGGATCAGAGTTGTCGTGGAAAAGAGGGAACTTCCCTCTTCCGCTCGCGTCCGGAATTTCGAACGATGAAACGCGCGAATCTTCGAACGCTCGCTCTCCGGCTTCTGCGCGCTCTTATCTGTGACTGAAGCGAGTCAGATTTCTGATTCGAGTCGGCGGATCAGATGGTCATTCGGCTTCAATATCTGAATCCTTATCTTCCGCTCAAGGTAAAGATCATGTCATACTCATGACTGACGCAGATGCGAGCGCTGAATCCAAGTACAAGCTCCCAGAACGGGATGTCGACGACAACGAGCCGCGAGGTAAGATGCAATGCCCGTTTCCGCAGCTCCAAGCTCAGCAGCCAGTCACATCGAAGAAACCATGCAGAGCTTGGCTTCAGAGGTCTGGACTCTCCATAACCTAATCGTTTCCGTCCCACAACCACCAGCGATGAAATCAATCAGGGAAACAGCCAAGCCACCGTTTAACGGTGGAGAGCTTGATGAGCAGCGAGATCTGCAATCTGGTTAATCGGATGGTATTCTCCGAGAGGCTTGAGATCAGATCGTGGTTGAAGCACTCGAGTCGATTGAAGGAGGAAATTTTGTTCCTTACGGATTGCTTCACAATTCTGATTCAGGTTTGATACAGCCTGACGGACAGATCAACTGGGAGTGTCCCTGCTTGGGGGGAATAGCTCTCGGACCTTGCGGTTTCGAGTTCCGGGAGGCTTTCGCCTGCATGCAGCGTGCTTCAGGAGAAGAAGAGCCGAAGGGTAAGGATCAGATTACGATGGAACGGGACATCGGACCAATTCGTTCTTATTATCAATATCTATCGTAGCGATCTTCGAAGCTCTCATAGTCTTCTGCCTTTCAGGCATGGAATGCGTTGAAGCTTTTAGGACAATGCGAGAATGCATGTCGAAATATCCAGCGCTTTATGACCGCTACATCGGTGACGACGATGACGACGCTGCTGCAGCGGAGGCGGCTGAAGCTGATGTAAATACAATCGATGACCAAAGAGCGACGACGGATGTTGATCAAGGAGGAGAAGTGGGGAGTGATAGCAGCTCGAAGAAATCGATTTCTTCCATCAAGTAGTAATCTAGCCATTATTAGTTGTGCGTATAAGATACACATATTCCTGAGCTCGGATCGAGATGAATTTCGGTGGAAGGCTGGGGGCAGAAGAATGCCTGGATGGATCCGGCGGCGGCCGAAGCCAGTTGTTTCTCCCCTGAGGCCCGAAGCAGATCAAAAGGAGCGATCCTGTCCCTCAAGTGCGCACTGGTATGAAAGTTGTTCATTGCGGCTGAGCGTGGATACGTTGTCGAGAAGTTCTGCCGGGACTTTCAAATGTAATATTAAAAGTAAATAAACAAACGGTTGTCCGCCGAAATTTTCTACAATCAAAACCAGGACATGATTCGAATTCAGTTTATCAACGATCACGCCATCAGAATAAGGAGAATCGAGAAAAATACAGAATCGATCCATTACATCCCATTCCGAGGAACGATTTGTTGACGAAGAATTCACGACTTCATCGTTACGAAGCCATCTCCGTATCGTCCGGGTCCTCTGGGAGACCGGGGTCGGTTTCGATGAATTTCGCAGGCGCCACCCAAGGGTCATAGGTCCATTTGGGATAGACTCGTTTGTAGAGATTCATCAGAACCGTGTCCATGGATTTCATTTGTTGATTGAATACGCACTTCATGTGGCCGTGAGTACCTTGAATTCGGGGAGTATCAGTCAGTTAGAGAGTGATTCCAAATCGGATTATTATTCTTTGACGTACGTTGACGCCGAAGTATCGAGTAGCGATAAACCCACCTAAAGGTTCTTTGATGTGCCCCCTGAGACCGTACTTCGTGCGCAGCTCAATCGGCTTAAACCACAGGATGTCCTCTGAAAGGGTGCGGAGTTTAGACTATCAGGATCACTCGGAGAAACTGGAATCTATTTCGATCCGCACTTCATACCTCTGTTGAAGAACATGTGACGTATGACGGCGTGGCGCTTATTTATCTTGAACGGATGTCCAGACAAGACCACTCTCTTGATGACGCATCGATCGGGATCAGCAGACAGAACGCCTCCCGTAGCGACCAGTCTGAGACCATTGTTGGTGGAATCCTACCGAAGAATTAGAGAAAAGATCGAAGATCAAAGCGATGTAAACACAACAGCCTCGCAATCTCTAATACGCGAGATCGCCCGATCGGACTGAGCAAGTACATAGAATCTGATTTCGAGCAGGCGTTCGATGAATGCTTGAATTTGCTAGAATCAGGTTGCGAAGAATCTCACTTGGAAAACGAGAACTGGAGCCGGTGGGAAGGTTATCGGTGCGTACATGGAAGCGACGCACGCGCCCTCCAGAGGAAGGAATCGCTCGAATTTATGCTTGCTGGTCATCGTATGCTGCGAGAATATTGGACAGCTCGCGAACCTGGAAGGGCCAATGAGTTTTACGGGGGACAAAAGTGGCCGGCGATCCTGGTTCAAAGATTGAACTGAAGAGAATTCACTGGACGCGACCCTCACCGACGGAAGCCAACTTGGAAAATGAGTCTCTCCTTGCTGCGGACAGGTTGGTTGAAACTGCGATGTCTTGCAATGGCCACGTTGAGAACGGACATCTTCTGCTCGTGAGGGAGGAGACCGAACAGAACTATCGACGATTTCGATGCTGCCACTCGATGAGGTACGTTTAGGAGATGAACGCTCACATACCAGCCCGGCTGAAAGAAGAAATGTCAAGAATCAGGGGCGAGGTTTCCATCGGGGAGAGACACATGAGAGGCTGGGAGTCAGGCCCGGCATCTCTCTCGAGGATTTACGGCATTTTCCGGCCCTGATGGACTCTTTCCCGACAATCGCCCGGGAATGCCGCGGATGTTGATCGTTCCCGTTGCGACCGCGCCAATTTCCCAGCCTCAGATATGAGATATCACTTGGGACCTTGGGATGTTCGCTTACCAGAGCGCCATCACATTCCTCGGCGTCGATCCGAAGCACTCGCTTCCGTATCCGATTGAAATTCTTGAATTGGAAAATGCGAGAGTAATCTACTGGGAGGTTCTCTTTGGGATCCCACGGGGACGCGTGGAAGCTCTTGAGACCGCGGAAACGCTGGAAGCGCGTTCGGGCATTCACGTCTTGAGGAGTGTCCATTTCGTCGGGGAAATGCACCTGCAGCCGCTGTTCCCGGAATTTCTCGAGCCTGGAATCAAACTTATTTTCACGAGCCAGCCTCGACATTCATCCATGATCAGGTTCATCGAAAGGAGAGAGCTTGGAGGGAGGTGGGGAAGGGGGGAACAGAAAACGTAAACGGTAGATATGGAGAGAGCACCCTCTCGTACATTTCCATGTCCTCCTTCAGGTCTAGATTCTTGTCGTAAGCGCCATCTGCGGCTATGGACATTGCATCGCTCTGAGTGTCGAGCCATTCAACCTCCTCATCATCGTCGGAGCTCGCAGAAACTTCCTCCGCGCTCAGAATCTCCTCAGCCATCTCATCTCCTTCAGAGTCCTCGTCCGTTTCTTGATCATCGATCTCGCTACCGCTCCCCTCGTCATCGAGAATCCAGGCTGCCTGTGAGACGGAGAGATTCGCGTCAACCCCTATGCTCGTTGTTCCGCTTGTAGTGCGACCAAGTATTCCGGTGTTCATCGGTATTCACATGGGTACCTGGTACTCAGACGTCCCACGTGGGACTTTCTTTTTTATAGTTCTGTTCTCCCTCTCTGCCTCCTGCAGTTCCTCAGGCGATGGAAAAGTCTGCTCGGCAGCCATTTCGTCGATGGGATTTTCTGCTTGAAGGCTCTCCCGCTTCAAAGGGTCTGCCTTTTGCAGGACTTCTGGGCCCATGTCCATATCTGCCGGATCAAGAAGGGAACTCAATCGCCCACCCCTTTGTCCATCGATGTTCAGACTTACAATTAGGGGTTTAGGAATATACCTTAACCAAATTCCTGGACTTTATCCCAATAGACTGACCTTGAGGTTTGGTTTTCGATTGATATGGATCGATGGGTTTCTCTATCCGGTCGATCTGGAAGTCGCCGTAGCCAGGGATGTGCACTAAATGGTTGGCGTCGAGGGGTCGCCCTCCTTTCAAATAACCAGTAACCTTGGGGAAGGGGACATCCTTAGAAGCTGAACCGTTGAAATCGGAGAATTTTGTGTTTTATCCATCCGAATCATCCACGAGCTTGCACCCCCGTTAGTTTACCTTCAAAGTTCCCTCGAAATTGCTGGCGTCGTTCGGGATGAACTCGACGCTCTCACCCAAGAGACAGCAGCGATTGCCTCTCAAGTTGAGTCTCTTCTCCTTGATCTCCGCTATCCGGCTCAGCAACAAAACAGCATCGGTGTCTTTCTGCAGGCAGTGGATCTTCTCGCCCGGAAACCTGGAGAAGGGGTCGTCGAAGATGTCGGATCGTGGACTCCGAAGGGAGAACCGGTAATTCTGAGCACCGAAGCTTCTGAACTCACCTGCTTTCTATCTGGAGCTTTGCACTTCGCTTGAAGTCCTTGGCATTGAATGGTCTGTCGTCCAATGACGCAGAGCAGGACACCACATGGATCGACGAAGGCAAACCTTGACCCATGAAGATCGAGAGCAACAAATCGCCTTCTTCGTCGTAACTAGAGCGAACAAATTGGAATTTGATGATACCGGCTCCGCTGAGAGATTGCACGCGTATCATTAGCACGCAGGACTACCGTACCCGTCCTGATAATCGTAAAGGAAGACCACAACGTCCGCTACTTTCACGATGTCCATCGACCCGTAGATATCCTCGCGGTTACAGAGAGCAAAGCAATAACGCTTCTTCAGGTGCGTCACCGCCATGTGCAGGTACCCCTTCGAATCTTCTTGGAGCTCAACGTCTTGGTGGCAATTCTTCATCTGATCCAAGAATCTACGAACAGAATGAATGACAGGGATGAGGTTCTCGAGGTGTAAGCGCATGCTGACAGATTCAGTGCGTATATCAACTCCGTCCGGCATGATCGGCCGGAGACAGAAGTCGTACCTGTGTGAGTCGATGATGGGGTGCAAAGGAACGATAGCCACAAGGTATGGAGCGGTTCCGAACTTTCCCAAGTTACGTTTCTGCTCCGCAACTCGAACTTGCTTCTGTTTCCGAATTTGGGCAAGCTGCAGTTTCCTCTCATGACGTTTCAATTTACGGCCAGACTTCACCGTTGAAACTTTCGCACCGACCCGACCTGAGAGAGAAAGAGCAACGGGTCAATATTCGACCAAGAAAGTTTCCTGGAATCTAGAGCGAGGCATCGCTCGATTCCTGGACTCCGGGAATGCCGCGAAGCAGACAGATTCCTCCAGAACAGCTGTGCGGAAAAGTCTTATCTTCTGACAGCTGTCGGGAAAGATCGCAGCTCCACGGTCTGGGTTCAGTGAGGCAAGAGGAGACTCTCCAGTGATGACGAATGCGTCACATCAGTGCACAAGGACCGTGGATCTTACGCGCAGCGAATCTGACCTGCAGCTATCCGGTTCACCGCCCGCTTGCTCGAATGGGCCCCGGTCTTATGGGTTTTGTTCTGCTGTTTCAGGGGACCGGATTTATGCTGATTCTCCGGCATCGTGTTCTGCAGAGGAAATAGATCCGCAGCTCCGAAAACTACTTCCGATCTCAACCAGCACAATATCGAATCCTTCACTTCTTCTCCGACCCGAACAGAAGCACGTGGGTCATCAGTCTGCTAGAGAGGGGGAAGGAAGAACAGGGAGACTTGTTGATGTCGCGGGAGTAACGCGCGGAAATTCGAATCGCCCCACACGCGCGATGAAACTTTCTCGATCAAGTGGGTGGATCCGCTCACGGTCGCCGATGTCGAAGAATACTCGGGGGTCACTCCTGTTCCCGGAGAGCCTTTTGAGTCGCTGGACCGATTTCGGTACTCCAAATTTTCATAGGAGGACAGCTCACTCCTGACGAGAGGGAGGGAATGTTTTGGGCCCGAACGACTCCTGGTAATCTCGGAGGCTCAGCGTTCTCAATTCAGGAACTTCGCGTCACGGATTGATTGGAGAATCCAACAGAATAGGGTGCGATGAGCTCTTCCTGGAACTGAAATGACTGTCTTGAGGCTACCATGCAGAGCAGCTACGGGAGCCGCCACCTGTAAGTAGAGAGATCCATCTCCTCCCCCGGAAGGAATGTCGGAACGTCCCGCGGACAAGCTGCTCATGCCGGGAACCCAGATGAGCCGAGCGGCTCTTGGGGGCAGAGTCCGATAACACGCGGAAGAATAGCTAGCCCGAGAGAGTTCAAGAGCCTCGTAATGGCCGTTGGAGTCAAGCTGGGGCTGGGGTGACCGAGCGAGATATTTCTGCTAAACACTGTCATTTCCGCTTCCAGTTTGTTTCAGCGGGAAATTCCGGCTCATCGTCGCGCTCACGCTTGTGTACCTAGGGGTTCGTTTACTCCTGGACTATCACAGTGAGTACGCCTCAAATATCTAGCTGAGCGACACTTCTCTTCGACTAATCGCCTGACTGTTAGTTACTCGGCTCATTGCTTTCAGAGAGAAGCTTACATGAGCAACTTCGCAACGAGCTGGGCTTCAATCAACCACGTAAGAGACGTGTGAATAACGTAGCCGATAGCTAATGATATTCCCCAGGCTCGTATCGAATGCCTCGGGAGCACGTACTGTCTGAGTTTGTGGCAGTCTCACGGGGTTGATTCTGCGGAGCTTGAGAATTGACTCGTATTTCAAGCGCGAAACTCCCCGATCGAGTTTCATTCCTCCCCGACCCTCGTGATTCTCTCACCCATGCCCTGATCCAGAGCTGCTCATCCGGCTCAATCAAAAACCTGCGAAGCATTTTGTCGCCGGAAATTCTCGAGGGCGTGGATGAGGAACGTCTTCTCCTTTCTCGGCGAGCGGAATCAACTCATTCCCCGTCATGATGATAAGGTGGCTGATAGCCACGATGTCAGAGGACACCAGTGACCCCGAGCGGATTCCACCTGCTATTCCTAGAATACTCCCCGTCAAAATGATTATGAAGGCCAGATAGTCGACCGAAAAGGGTTTTAGACTTTCTAAAGATGTCTACTTGGAGCAGGGTCCAAGTACAAAGAGCATTCATTCATTCCTTGTGGCACTGAGCCTCCGTAATCGTAGCTTATCGCTGCGCGTATCCATTGAGTGTCTTGGTCCCGAGGATGAGTGAACTCTGGATCCTGCCCAATTCGACGGATGGTGCTAAGCTCAAAGAGGTGGAGACCCGGACTACGGATACGTCCTGAATCTGGCCGCAGGAAACTTCTGATATTCCGATGTCTAGCTGTGGCGAGCCCGTTGGAGGGGGGCGGGGGCAGCGACGGAAATGATGAATCAGTTCAGCTCTGCCTATTGTGGGTTTATTCAGAGATAGCCGACAGATCTCGATAATAAGGTTAATAGCGTCTATATCATTCAACTATGAACTATCCCAACGCCTCAGTAAAATGCTACAGTACTTCCTTTCACCGATGTCGGCTCAGTTTCTGAACCAAAAACGGATCTGAGTGATACGCAGCTACGACCAACAGAGAAGTAAATACGTTTCGTGATATATCGACGATTATATTATACAAAGCATGCACTGATCACCTCCGTAACTTGAACAGATTTTGATATGTGTGCTCTACCGGACCTAATCGATCGCTCCACCGACGACGCGGTGGAAGCGATCATTGAGAGTTACCATTCCCTCATTTTACCGAGTGAGTGCGTGTGCTTCGATCAGACGACGATAACATCATCATATTTGGAAGGAGTTCAGTTTCTGCTCGGGAGCCTCCACGGATGCCCGTAGCCTGGCCGCTCCGAGCGCGGAGCCAGTTCAAAATCTCACTCTGCCTATCTGCTCCGTGAGTAGAAGGCACTTTTTGACACAATTCTTGATGAACAGTCCTAGTTGCAGTAACGATTAATTTCGAAGCTCTCTTCAAGCATTCATCCTAGCAATGATCTGCGATCTCTTACTGAGCAGTCACGTTTTTTCGAACGGGCGATTTCTGAATAATTTCAATAGGAGGGATCCTTGTCGGCGTAAACCTCGTGGTTGGTGCTTTCACAGCCCGTCCTCATCTTACGAGCTCTGATGGTTTCCGGGGAAACGCTCTTACGGTCGTAAGCCAGTCCGAAATAGGCGAACACGTCGATGACGAAAGTAGTAGGGTTCAGCGTGTAAGGGACCTCGGCCGCTTTGTAGTCCTGTGGAGAGGAAACATGAATCTCCCTTAATAGTCTGCAGAGACAGCCGACATTGAACTGAAGAATAGTGAGCGATGCGCGACGCTTTCGAGTCTGGGAACAGCTTTAATTACAGCCAGAGCGACAAGACTTCGGGCGCGAGTCCGGAACCCGAAAAACGATCTCGTCGGACTTTTCGACTCGAGGCATTTAAGGGGATACTGAGCAGTGTCGTATGTAGGATTTTTTCTTGAGGCGGGAGGGGCTAGATTGAAACTTAGGCGGGGCTAAGATTCGAAGATGAGCTCTAAAATACGCCACTGATACTGAGGGGGCTGTCAACGAAGGGAATCTTTTAGCTTACCTGAGGGAACGTGTGGTGGTAATTGTGCCAACCTTCCCCGATAGCGCCGATAGAAACGCCCCAATTTTCCACTGGGTTGATGTTCTTATCGTAGGGCTTATCACCCCACATATGCGCAGCTGAGTTCACCAGCCAGGTGACATTTAATGCAACACAGTATCTGCGGAGTGATGAGCGGTCACATGATTATCTAATTATCTGTGTCTGGGAGAACGCTCTGGGAAGGATTCCGAGGATTTTCGACTATCGATAGCGGGCCGCACTCACCGCGTCAGAGCACAGACGACGAACGCGTGGAATAAGCTCTCGCCCCACAGGAACCAAGGCACGACGGTCGGGAAAACGAAACAAGCGAATAAAACTGTCTTGAGGTAGTGCTTCTTCTGGAACATGACCACGGGGTCGGCATTGAGATCCGACAGATCGATTTTGCGTCCTTTCTCGATGACGTCGGGATGCTTGCGGACGAGCAGCCAGCCCACATGCGAGAAGAAGAAGCCTCGTTTCGCGTTGTGGGGATCGGCGTCTGTCTCAGAGTATTTATGGTGGACGCGATGATCACGCGCCCATTCGTAGATGTGATTTTGAAAAGCCAAACTCTGAAGAAATGCGAGGAATATCCGAAGTGGCAGTTTTGCCTTGTAGGTTCGGTGTGCCCAGAGACGATGCGCACCGGCGGTGATTCCGAGACAGGATCCGAAATAGAGCACGTAGGCTGCAACAGAAGAAAAGCTCTTGTCTAGGAGATGATTCGATAGAATCGTGGCTTCAATTTAGCCGGATTCTTCGTCGAGACCTCGGCTCAAGGAGTCTCTAGAGAACTCGAGAGGAGAACAATGCTTCCCTTGGGACCGTCTTATCTCCGTCGGTACCTTGTGGGTTGGTCTTTCAATGTCAAGCTCGCTTCATGTCAATCCTCGCATCAAGCCGGTGAGATTACAATTGACGTTTGTGACTGAGCCAAATTCGAGTCGTTACGTGTGACGACGGCAAGGATAGACGAGTCATTCGACTCTAAGACAAGCTCCTTTCCGATGAGACTGTCCGATACCAGCCGAATATTCAGTTGTATCACATCTCTTATCAGTGGCTTTTGAGCTTCCCAATTTAGTCTCCAAATGACAGCGTAGGATCTGAATGTATCCTCGGCCAGGCTATTTGTACGAACAATGTTCTCAGCAGGGGAGGGGGGTAAACTAGCGAGACGCTGAATGCGAGAACTCCATTAGAACAACGCGGCCCATGGGTTTTCCTCGAAGGCAGGGCTTGGATCCCCGAAAGCTCGATTCTCGGAAGTCTCCGGGGACTCGCAATCCTCCAATCGGAGTTACCGCCATGGCTCGATGATTTCTTCACAAAATCGTACGAGCTGCGATCGTGTGATGAAACGCAATCGGTTGAGGAAAAAACTCAGATTTCCTCTCGACAAGCAGTGCTCTTCGCGCGATCGCGGCATTTCGGAGCAATCATAATAGAAAGGCGTTCACGCAGATCCGACCCGACAGATATCTCCCTCAAAAATGATTCGACCCCAATCAAGAAACTCGATCTATTGTCGAAGAGGATCCGATTCGCACACTTGTCGAATGTTTTCGTGCGGTATGCCGAGTCGGGAAACAATAGGAGTTGGAACCGAATACCACACGTCGCGGTAGGAGCACATCAACAAATCATACGGGCGACTCATATCGGCTCTGTCCCGTTGGGTTTCAACTCATAGCTGAGCAACATTTTCGATGAGACGCTGTCGACGGTTCGCCGCGAGTCGATGTTCAAGCATCCAGCTCGCCCATTCCTCGGTAACGTCGAGCAGAGCCAGAAGCGTCTCAGCAGCGTCGGACGAATAGGGAATTCGATTCATTTCGGAAATTCCATCCGGAATATTAGCTTTCCGGGGCATATGGATTCCTTCCGATCCGAAGAGTTTTGGGAATCTTCGAATTTGGGGGAACCATTCGCAATATATACTGACTGAGAGGAGTTCTGGTTCGAATTCCAAGAAAGGCCCGGAACATTCGACCGGAGCCGAGATCGGCTGGGAGGTCTCTGAGAGATTTTTCCGTCGAGTCAGAGCTTCTGGAGCAACCGATACTTCTGATGAAACGCGCAACACGCCTGTCGACGATTAAGTTTAGAATGACAAGAATCAGCATAAGCGTAGATCCAATGCATGAGCTGACGATGGAGCTGTAAGAATGTCAGATGAATCACAGACGACGCGAGCTCTATCTATCGACGAGCACTCAGGAGTAAAAACACACGTACTCCGTCTCGAACAGAGACGAACTCGATCCGCAAAGATTCCGCCTTATGAGAACTCGAGATTCCATTCCCCTGATCGAGTGAAAGTTCGGCACGCTTAGCGCATCTCGTGGCGTTGTGAGCCACCACCTACCGGCGGCGCGACTATCCAGCGTGGAACCAGCTCGTCGGCGGACACAGCTCGGGTTTCGAATGAGAAATCAGAGCGTCAATCGGAATGTCTTCGCATAGGTGCCAAACGATGACTGAAAGCGTCGCGAAGAGCATCCCGACTTTTCTGGTCTAGCACCTACGGAGCTCCTAGACAGCCTACGGTACTCTCCAACGGAATTCTAGCGCTTTTTTCCGCGGCAACGACCGTTGCCGGCTTGAAACGAGCCTGACAGGTGAACTTACCCCACGCCACGGTCAGCCACATGACTTTCGTGGCGAACAGGTACAATCCGTAAATGGAGATGATGTGCAGGTAGGCCATGAGCGCAATATTTCGCCAAACGAACTTGAGCTGGTATTCATCGGCAGAAGCGAACTTGGCTCCTTTGCGGAGCTTGAGCTCCTCTGTTGTCACTGATTGGGTGATGGACATTTCGCCGGTGCTCGCTACAGCTCGTGTCAAGAAGAACCGAGGGGGCTGTCTTGATCGGCCGAGTGTCGCTCAAACAGACGGACCGACTCGACGGCGACCACTCACGTTTTGAAACCGAGGGAACCACCACAGGGCTGGTGCTACAAGTAGGCACACGAACTGAGGGAGCAGCAAGGCGCCGTAGAGAGGCGCGGTTAGCAGCAGACCGGAGAGGAGGTTATGAACGCAAGCGAGAAAGAGGGGTCCACGTCCACCATCCGACTTACAATCATCACACCACCGACAGCACGCCACCATCACCAGCTCTCTATTCTCCTCGTGCGCCGATGGGCGGTCGGAGCGCCAACTGGCCGGCTCAGCTGTCCAAGCACCGGCTCCGAGCCCGAGGGATGCGAATGCTACCGACGACGTTGAGAGACATCACGATGACAGATACGACAGCGACTATACGATGGGTGTGGAGTCCCAGCCCCCGGGCCTGAGCTCCGCCACTGTTATCGGAAGACGGGAGATCGGCGGATTCTTCTTCGTGCCGCTCGGATAAGCGTGTCATGAATTGATAAATACCAGAAAAGTCCTGCGGGGGCATCCATGGGCAAATGTGTTTCTAGGAATCGAAGGTCCATGGCGGCATCGGAAGACATGCGAATCTCAGAGCGATGAGTTTGAGGAGCTCAGAGAACATTCTGTGGGGGTATCGAATCGGGGTCCTGGTCGGAGACAACCCAGCCTCGGGCATTCAGGTGCAGGACGCAATGTCCTTCAGGGCCATCTCCATCGGGAAATCCAATCAAAATTTTCCTGTTTCCGCTTTCCTCCCGCATCGAGCGCAGACTTCGGAATGCTCAAGGTCTCCCCCGATGGTCGCACAGGCAGGCGAGGCTCAGGTGAATCTCCGTCAGATCGAGTCTTTTGCTTCCGAGATTCCAAAACACGATTCCCTTACTGGATTTTATCAGAAGGAAAACAACAGGTTTTAATTTCTCTTTAATGTTCGCTACTCGCTACCTAACTCAACTCGCTAACTAACAACAACTTTAATGATCGCTTCAAGGAACATCAGAAACTTCCTCAGAGGATCTCGAAAACAGCATGAATGCACGTCTTATCCGCGGAACCGTCTCTCCAATACGAGATCATCCAGAGACGATTGAATTATAGATGCATATGCACAGCGACTGAAACATCCGAGAGTTCCCTTGAGTTGTTCCACTACTGGCATTTTTAGCGAGACGATTCAATTCGCATCAAATGAAAAAACGGTGTTTGTAAAATTCTCGATGGACCGGCCGAATTTGTCGTGGAGTCCCCCGGAAAAGCTGGAGGCTCCCTCGCATCAGGCGGTCGTTGTGATGTCACTCGAGGATCTCGCGAAAATCTTGATCGCGATACCTTTTCCAGGATCCACCTCGTTCCCAGGACACCAGCATCTGCGAGGTTTCCTCAACGGCTTCGAGCAAGAGAACGGTCCAGAGTGAGTACCTCGAGAGAGAATATATTGTTGACAATACCATCTCCCCCGCGAGGTTTCCCCAAGGAGGATTCTCAGCATAAACTGAGCTCCGGCGTTCCGGTTATCGAACAGCATCATCCACGTCGTGCCGTCGGTCACAGTCGGAGAGCGCGTGCCCAATTGCGGTCTCCCGGATCCCTGCCCGTCGGACTCCTTCTCCGCACATCTGTTCACCGGAGTCGATCATCACGACCAGCCCAAAGTCTGTGTCGATGGAAAATAGTAGGTTCCACCGAAGGGCACAAACCTCCTATAAACTGGCGTCTCCCAAGCGGGAGTTGAGGAGAGATGACTCTTGGATAATAATGATAGTCATCATCGAGGATCTCTGCGGGTAATCGTTTCGGGCCGAAGTAACTCCTTTCGCTTTCAATTCAAAAGTGTCGTGGGAAATGGTCTGAATAATGGTGGTCGTGGAATCAACATGGTGGTCTTAGACACTATCAACAAGCATCTGCAACGCGTTGTCAGATTCGATACTTATCAAGAAGGTGAGCTTTTCTTCCTCTGACGCTGTACTCGACTCGTTAGGCCATTCTAGAGTATGACGCTCGGATCGCAGTCGCGCGCATTTCGTCAGCTTATCAGCGTGCTCGGCCCGGCAAGCTCGAGCAAAGCCTTGCATCATCCCCGTAGCGGTTGAGAGGGACGATGTGGACGAGGAAAAGCACAGTCATTTGCGTCTCGGTGCTATCAAACGTCGTGAAGCAAGAGACAGGATGTGTGCTCTGATGGATATGCCAGAATCGAGTCATAAATCGAAGAAGCCCACATAATGTGGTCTAACGGACGGACAGAATTGAATTCCCGGGGCAGAAGATTATCTGCAGAATAATGAAAGGAAAAAAGCTTTTGTCGGATATCTTTCCTCGCTCTCAGAGGCTAACGATGAGCCGACGCTCGAGCAGTCCGAATCATACACAATTCATGGATTGGAGCGCTGCTGAAGAACCATCCTGTAAAATCGCGATATGCCAGCGTGTGCACCACTGTTCGGGAATTCCTAATTAGGTAATTATCATCCTCCGATGAGGATACACGGTCTTGGAATTATCTTAGGTGTGACCTTAGAGAGACGAGAGACTACGAGAGCGACTTATGGTCCTTGACTCTAATGGCGATCCCCTAGATTCCTCGGAGGGAAATCATGATTCTTCGCTGCAAAATAATTAGGTGTGAACTGAACACCCAATCGATGAGGGAGGGGTTCGTTCTTCGTCGGACAGATACGAGAGATCGCGTTTCTAGAGGAGTTTCATACCTTCAGAGCGGGAGCGGGACGACTCCTCCATTGATGACCTTCTATAGAGCCATACAAGTCGGAGCCATCAAAAGCAATCTGGGTTTATTATTGAATCTTCGGCAGGCCCAGTTTTTTCAGTAGCATTCTGACGGGAGTTTATGGCATTTCCGGGGTCTTGTCGACTCTCTGTGGAGGGGCGTCTCGGAATGAGCCCGGAATCATGAAGACGTGACTATTCCCGGCTTCTGTCACTCCTGTCCGAGCCAGAACTCCAGCACCGATCATCGAGGATCGCGTCACCGACTTCCTCTTTATTTCCATTAATTTTCGATTGATCAGTGGGGCGCCCGGTGAATCAAAGAGACGAAGCGCTCCACGGAGCCGCGGCAAGTTACCGTGCAAAACGACGGGATGATGAAGAGGCTAGGGTGCCAGAAACTCGAAAAGCCTGCCAATCATTCGGAAGAATGAATTGTTAAGGTCGTTTATGAAAAAGAACAACTGCAACTGTAAAGACCGACCTCATGGTTCATGGTTCTATAAATCCATATGTTCCTGCGATACTATATCACAGGATCATATCCCTTTATCACAGGGGCGATTTCTCAGCAGATCGGTCGGGTCTCCTTCCCCTATCGCTCCAGTAGTTCCCTCATAAGTTGCGGCCGTCAGGAGTAAGTCTTCGGCGTATAGTAGCCCTGGGATCTTTATCGACTTCACCGGGTTGGTAATCGTTATCACCTCGAAACCACATCTCGTCCATAGAATTCTTGATTCTAGTTCGGCAATATACAGCCTCTTCTATACATACCTCTTCTGGCCGGGCTCCTCACGCATATTCCTCATGAGACCTATTATCATTATCGATTCTGGCAGGCGAGGGAGAATGCCAGCCCCGAGTTCGATCTATTCTGGTGCTTTCGCCTCTCGCTCCCAATGCTTCAGACCACAGAAACAATTTCTCTCTCATATCGCTTGGTCTCTACAAACCGATTCTGCCGCTCGAGTGAGACGAGTACGACACTGTGAGGATTCACATGTCGAAATTCTCCATGAGGAATCGGATCCGGGTCAGCCTCTGGCATACGTACGACGCTACTGCTCAGGCACGGAGAAGCAGTCTGACACACGAATCGCATACTGTATCGCAATGAATTGGAATTCGAGACGGAATTCACAGCGGGTTTCCTGGAAGTCTGGAAGTTGGATCCCTTTTCAATCATTAATCATTACTGAATCCGTTCCGGCAAGCCCTGAACGAGTCATGAATCGTTTTCGTTCCCGCAGATTCTTCGATGTTGGAGTCGCTCCTACTGAATCTCAGAACTGGAGATATTGTCTTGCTGGTGACGTTCGATGAGCCGACGAAAAAGTGAGAGAATCCCAGCAATATTTATACTCGCTCGAGTCCGAGCTCACTCCGGCTTACTGCCTCTAATGGTACACCACTCTCTTACCGATTCAGGCTATCATCGGTCGCGCGTCTCCTCTTCCATGAGCTCGGCTCGGCGATGTCTCAGAATTTGTTGCACTATCGTTCATCTTGGTATTTAGCGACGCAAAAGGGAATCGACGGCTTCACTCCGTACGAAGACGTGAGTGAATTTCTAGCCTTTAAGGAGCTCGACCCTGGAGTATTGTGCCGCTCTTGATCAATATGACCCTCGGCTCGGATCGTTAAAGGAAAACACGTGATTTCAGCTGCACACAGTGTTATCCAAAGGATGGCCCCCACCACACGATGTCCGACTTTGCATTCCTTTCAAAAGTGAGTTCGTATTTAGCTCAATCTCTACGGTAAATGATTCCTTGATCGGTGTTGATGATCGACAATCGATTGATTGATTCGTGAATCGTCGCGGAGACATTCCCTCGCTACTCAAACACGTAGTGGTGATCAGGATGGTGAAATGAGGACCAGTCGAGGAATAGGAGGATCAGTTTGTCCATTTTTATTTACAAAGATGCTCGGATTCCCTACGACGGAATATCGCAGTTCTATATAAAGCTCCGTTTGCTGAGAATTGAGCATGAGGTATGTTCCATGGCACGTACCATAAGTACAAATAAAACATCCTTCCGAGTTTCCTAAATACGGAGCAGAGCTTCTCTTCGGCTCTTCAGTTTGCAAAATATCTCGAGTCAAGCTCTGAATGAAACCCGCGATTCGAACAGTTTGTCGCTGAGTGAGCTTTCGAGAGTGAATTCTCCCGCGACAACCAGAAATTTGATCTCACGGCGAGGACACGCTGATTGCGTGAGATTCGAGTGTCTCCCACGTGGACATCTGTGAGTTGAATTTCTCGGAGCGCCTCAAGGAACTCCAGCGGCTATCGGGAGCAGCTCAGACAAGAAGGCATACTGCGGAAAAGATGATCGATTCTTTCGCCTTTGGGAATTAGGTGAAACTACTGACCTTTTTTCGATCCTCGGAATTGGAGAGGAGGGGATTCAGGCTATTTCTGCGCCGAACGCTTCTTCTTCCCGTGTTGTCTCCCCTTCCTCTTCGAAACGCCTCCTGCCTGAGCTTCGTTCCGTCAGACCGGTAATTTCTCTTTCGGAATCTCATCCAGGAGCTCCTCTTTATGTTGTAAAAATTTCAAAATCGTATCAATGGCCTGTCTAGCGGATAAAATCGACGATCGCTCCATTGCATTCCACAGGAATCCCATCAGGAAACAAAAGCCTAGGAGTAAACTCAGGAAGATACGGGCCAGGTGCAGCAGAACGATATAAGTTCCTTGAACGTAGAGGTCTATCGGTATAGAACTGAGCAACAGGATGAGCAGGAGGCCCGCCACACTCAAAAAGAAGATTCGGTTGAATCTAAGTGAGGCCAGAGTCTCGTCCATCAGTTTCACGCTCGCCTGCAGACAATCGATGCGGCACTTGAGGTTCTCGTCGTTGAAATAATTCACGAAGCCCACAGGGTCGTCCCCGTAGGCGGGATGGGAGTTTTGCTTGATATTGAGGACAGCGATGACCGGTTCGTGGTCCGATATCGAAATACCGGCCTTGGTCTTCCAGCCCGGGCAGAGGTACTTCTCGCACTGTATACTGACTCGCCCGCTTCCGGTCCCGTACAAAATATAATCGATCCTCTGTCCTTCCGGAGAGCTTTTACGATCGCCTCGGGTGGTGAAAGTGTTTCCCGGATGTCCGCAGGTCGCGGCAATCGCTTGTTCTAAGCAACAAGATTCTTTCTCTTTGAACGCGTCCCGGAGCCTGGAGTTGTACAATATCACTTGGTAGGGCAGATCCTCCGGCTGCGTGTTGAAATCTCCGGCGACAATCGTATAATCACAGCTACCGAGAGACGTGTGCGAAACGAACTGCGAGAATTCGAAAGCTTGGCACACCCTATGGTATAAATACGCGTCTTTCAACCGGTCGTATTCCGCGTGGAGGTGAGTAACGTAGAGATTGGCTATCATGTCGTGATGCTGCACCTTCGCCATGCCGACAACTTTTCCTCCGAACCAGTCACCGTGGTGGAACTTGTGAGCGTAGCCGTTGAGATTGTACTTGTAGGAGAAAATATCGATGATTGGCCATTTCGAGAGAAGACAAACTCCGGAGCCGATCACACCCGAGTGGAAGTAATGGCCGTACCGAAACGTCGGTTCTACCAGCTCGGTGAGACGTTGGAAATCAGCTTCGCTCCACACCTCTTGAAGGAAGACATAATCGATGTCGGATTCGGAGGTCAGAAGGAGCTCCGCCAAAGCATCGAAACGCTCTCGACGGTGCTTGGATAATCCAACGATGCCCCAAAGGTTGAGAGTGAGTGCTTTGACTCTGACGTGCGCGGCATGCCGACTGCAAGAAAAATTGAGAGCCTCAGATCTCACAGCGGATTCCGCGGGAACCCGGTCGATCCCATACTTCATTCCGGAGAGTCGGGTGATCCTTGAGCGATCTAAATAAACACTGAACGCTGATTGTTCAGTGATACAATAACTTTGGGGAGAAGAGTCAGTTTGTTGTCACTTACGTCGAATTCGATGAATTCCCATCGATGGTCGTCTGGAGAGGTGCTAGAGTGTTGGGCTCAACCAACACATCGACGAGACTGTGTTTCTCCATTCTGCGCCAACGATCTGCAAACCGAGATTCAAATCTGTGTCAGATTCCGGTCGGAGGTTTCCAGGAACTTCTTCTGCTCAGTCTGGAATAACTGTTGACGCATCGAATCCAGCGAGGAAGCTCCTGTCTGGCAACAGACCATTGTCGCACATGCGGTCATTTTGTCGGACCACTAACTTTTTCATGGGGCGGGAGAATGTGCGACTAACAAGCCTCCTCTCCAAATCGACATGGAAGCGGCGCCATCGGCTGGAATAGGAAGGAGTTTCCTTGAATTTTAAGAATTTCGAATCCAAGTTGGCGAGTAGGCGCGGGACGCCGATTGAATTTTCGGTGTTGAGGGTAATCTTATTGATCCGATGGTTTATCCACGACATCGATAGTCACCGCGCGGAGCCTTCTTTGGGAACTCTGTATCGAGCCGAGTGATGCTAGTCCATCTTGGAGATCCATCCGTGGAACTGATGAGATTACCGCGAACCACTTCCCGAGAGGCAAACGAAATTCTGGGATTCCCGCATTGCTCAGATTCTCCAAGCTTTATTAGCCCTAATCCCAGCGGGAACATATGCTGATATTGTATTCACCTGTCAAACGACATTCATGGCGATGGGTTGAATATAACTTGTCGTCCCACTCGTCACTCGCAAGCGAGCTCGCGTGGGACTCACTCGTTTATCACTCGTCCAATGAAAGCGAGATCGAGCAAGCGAAGAATTTTCCGAACTCTCTAAGACTCGCCAGAACGTGAAGCCCGATGCTCGATCGCCGCGCCGCTCTCTAAAGAGCACTACAGGATACAGTCGAGGCTCTCATTCTAATTCTCTAATCACTGATCACCTACTGAAATGTTCTGCGCCCCCAGTCACCGGAGGCTCCCTGGAGTTTCGTATCGAATTCCGGGTTGAGAGACTCCTTCCCACCGGAAAGCCCGATAAATTCATCCGAGTCTCGCGAGGCTACCAATTGACGGCGCTTCGAATCAGCCAGACTCAATCGTACCTCACAGCTCACAGCGCTACCGAGGTCTGTAAAAATGGACTCAGCCGCGGAGCAGAGAAAGAACACCGTCGTTGTCATGAAGCCAGAAAAAAAGTGACGCACGCCGTCGCTCCGTGGGACGGAAGGTCGTCATGGGCAACTTCCGCAAAGCACAGATCATCTGCCAACGATTGTTGGTGGAAGTCAAGTCCGGACATATTAGAGCCGATTCGGTACTCGAATCGATTCCCCTGCAATCAGAGAAGCGGTCCAGACTTCGGATTATTTGCGAAGGTCTTGCGTGATAGCGGTCATCACTGGCTTCGAAGGCCCCTGAGAGAATGATTCGAGTTCGTGAAGCCAAAGAGGGTTTCTAAAGACTACGTCCCTCGTAGGTATCTAGTATCACGACGACATCTCTCGTGCCCACTATTGGAGGGTATGTGATAATCTTGAGGGCGTAGGAAGACATGTAGCCTAGAGAAAGGAGGACTTTCGACAATTATTGATTTGGGCAAGTAGGTCCCGTTCCCATGCTTGACTCCGGTCCGATTGATGGATTGAATAATTACTCAGTTCCATTCTGGTATACGTGGAATAGGTCCGAATAGCTCATTACAAATAACTGGACACATTCCTCATCACTCTTTACTTCATTACCAACTTTCGTTTATTTCCCGCTTCGTCGACCTTCATTTTCCGAACAGCTCACATTCGGCCAAATGTTACGAAGGGTGATCAGCCTCCTGAGTCAACAGGAAGGTGGAGTCCCGCGAGCCACTTGTTGGAGTCAAGAATCACGTTCCTGAGAACTCACGAGGCCCTCGCAATCTCAACTCGTTCAGAGAGGCACATTTTCGATCGGAGTCAAGGAAGCCCTCGAAATTATCCCCTCTCATAAAATCATTATCTAAAGACCGAGTTTCCGGAACGGCATTTGCCGTCGGAGAATTTGAGGAATCCTGTGCACGATTCTTAATGGATTCCCTTGCGTATGTGAGATTCGAGCTGAGGTTTCACGACATTACTCAGACGACCTCAAGGAAGAACTCTTACGAGCTGGCGCGCGGAGGCTCCCGACGGACAGTCCAACGAAAGAAACCCCCTCCGTGGAGATTTCACGAAGTTCACGCGATATCTATATGAATTCCGGCGCGGGGGCACTCTGAGTGAACTAAACGTCTTACGGGTCATTTGGGAAACAAGCTGTTTTAAATCGAGATCTCCGACAAATATCCCTGAGGGATTGTAAATCACTGATTCTTCCTACAGAACTTAAGGGTAACATATCGAAGGAAATAAGCGCCTGTTCTGTGATGCTTTTGCAATCCTGTGTCCTTGGAATAGCCAAATTCGCTAGAGGAACGGTTGCAGCCGAACATCAAGACAGAAGCAGTGGAGCACTAACGGGAGACTCGTATTACGTTTATTGCGTACTCACCGAACGGAGACTGCTTGTGTATCCGCCCGACACGACTATAAAATTCTAAACAGATGTCATTCGGATTGACTCTCTCTCTACAGAAGCACAGCAAGACCAGAGCAGCTTAGCGCCTGTGACTGAAATCGTCATCAGCGATGATCTTTCCTGCTCCTCCCGAACGTCAACGGGCGACGCAGGGATCTCCGTGCACACTTTCCGCAATCGTCGATCCGGAACTCTGTTCATCCTACTTCGACGCGAGTCATTTCTCTCCGAGCTACAAGGCTCGATTGCTTGGAAAAATCCACGTCCGTCAGGGTTATTGCCCTTTGTAGTCCATTTGGGGCCTTGATGCAACGAGAATTCCCCGGAGGGAGTCGTTGAATCGTCGTCATTGAATGCGGTGGATCCGATGACTGGATTCTCGGGATCCAGCAGTTCTCCTCATTTCTCTCCTTGTGACCGACTCCTTACTGAAGATGTGTCATTGGGTATCTCCCGAGGATTTGTGAGCCATTCGGTCTTTTGGGCACCTCGTATCGGTAGTTTTTCCCTGATATTTCGGACGATGCGCGATGTGCGCGCGAGAGCGTTGCTACAGAATTGCGGGGATAGTCGAACAAGCGAAGGGTCCCGGACGGATCGCGGCCGAGTGTTCCTTTTTTTGACGACAGGCTTGCAGGAGACCGGGCCGCGTATCGGTCGACCCCCCTTGGTTCGGCGATGTCCTCCCGCACGAGGGGAGCCGAGGGCACCATGCGTCATTCCGGAAAAAACTACTTCGAAGCACGCCTCCTAACCCCCTCAACGTGATTCTCAGTTCAAGGGATGCCGGTCCACCCGGACCCGTCTCAGCACGATAATGCCGATAGAGCGCGATTCTGTTCGAGACATAACGACGTGATCTCAACATTCTGTACAGGGGACGCTAAACCAGCTCAGCATCTCCTACAACAGGTGCGTAAGAAAGGGGTGATCAGGGTGCGATTATCCTGCTCCTTGAACGCCAAATGACGTCATGAAAAGCAACAGAAGCTGCTCCTAGTCAGTCGCTTTGAGCCCCTCTTAGCATCAGAAGGTTTTCATGGACGCAGTGCTCATAGATTTCTCATAGTTCGAAGAACCAAATCATGAGTTTTACTCGAACTATCTGCAGCCGAAAACATCGAACAACAAGCTCGGGACGTCCCCCGTTGTCGTAATCAGCGGATCCCAGAGCAGACTCCTGCCGCAAACTCTGGACACACTCTCCTTGCAGAATGGACTCGAGAAGCAGAACGTCTTGGTGGGTACGATGCGAAAATGAGTGAAAGACTCTCATGATTCGAATGGGAATTCTGCGGAGTAAAACCGTGTCTCGCTTCAAAACAGGTTTTCCACGAGGCCGACGATATTAAAGCTCAGGACCTGTGTGAACTCTTCAATTTCTCATGTCAGCTTCTCCAGAGTGATCTATCGGGTGGGAGATGCGGTGAGTCGGTTCCGGGGTTCCTGGATTGAATGTTCATGGTTCTCCCTTCGGCAACCTCATGACTCATGAGCCACCTCGCACGCGACGATTTCATTGCATAATATCTTCACAGAGCTCTTGGGACAGGCAATGGACACTGCAGAGACGATTTACCCAGAGGCTGTGAGTTGTTGACTGGCAAATCAAACGCGGAACGTACCTAAATCCTCACTAATCGATCATCCGGAGCGGTGGGATCGCTTCTCAAAAGCAGAAAGACGTTCACCTTGGATTCCATACTATCATTGATAATATGGATATGATAATAATAATTTATCATGATCTACGACTCATTGATCCCATAATCTTCGACCCTCCGAGGTCGACGCGAACGTTCTCTTCGGATCAGAGTTCCGACGATCCACCTCTCCGCTGATCCCTAATCTCCACCTTCGTCATCGATTTTCTGGGGCGGGGCAATAATTCCGTCTCTTAAAATTGAGGAATGTATCCATTGCACTCAGATACGATTCCGTTTCCAGCCGTACATGGTCATTATCGAAGCGAACGTCCTTCTCGGATCAGATTTTCTGCAATACGTTTCATCGATGATTCTACTCCTCGACCAAGATTCGACGATAGGCAGTATATCGGGATTCAATCCAGACGGGTTCAATCATCTCACCCACGATACATCCCAAGTCTACAGGTGAGATGAGAGTAAGACACGGATGGCCCCACATTCCTGCCTCGAGAGCACCCTCCTCCAGGGGCAGGGGTGAGCTCCGCGCAAAGGAAGCGAGATACCCGAGCGAACGATTCCATTCTATGAGAAATGGTCGTTTGCGAATACGAATAATTTCGATTCCCTCCAATATACGAGTTTTATGACAGTCATATGATCAAGATTACTTGAATCCGGGCACAAGCTTATGGGAGAAGTTGATAGTTTACGACTCAGGCTACCTAACGGCGTTCCCTCCGCGAACAAGGCGGAATCGTCATGTTCCTGGTTCTTTGAAGTGTTTCCGGAAAGCTGCCGACATCATCTCGGTTATTTGCTCTAGATCAAACAAGTTGTCGATCAGCCTGACAGCATCGATGGGTGGCTCGGATTTCACTCCTGCAAGGATGGATTACAATGAGAAATAGTTTCACCGCGACAAATCGATGAAAATCTAGCCTTAATCATACCCACCGAAGTATCGATTCGACTCCATGTCACATCGGATTTCGAAGTTGACGTTTCGACCATCGATATTCATATCGATTCTGAAATTCTCTTCGCTGATTTGACCCACACGAAGAATGTCTGAAATGTAGAAAAATGCCAGAGCGATCAGTTCTCCTTGCCGAAGCGGGAATCCCGACTCGCCCGCGGACTACCGCGGATTCTAATATCGCACAGCTCACCGTTTTCTCGAGTTTTCGATAGTGTTGAGTTCAATCTCCGGATTTCGTCGCACAACTTCATTGCATGGTCTTGCTCCACGGCCATTTCGCTCCGAAAATCGTTGAACCGTTCATTGCCTGTGATCGGCATACGCCTTCAGCTCAACTCGTCAATTAGGAAAATGATTTTTCGTGAATCACATCAGAGAAAGACTCACTCTTGACCATGAGTCTGGATTTCTTCGTCTTTTCGAAACATGCGGTGGTCCCGTTCACTGAAAAGAGGTCGAATACTCGGATGAGGAATATCGAAAGCTGTGCACGTCAGAAGCTCTCAGCTCATCTTCACCACGAGCTGCAATAGCAGATCTCTCTCGCTTGGGGGACACGGGCACGCATCTGCGAGAGCAGAATCAGGAGAAGGAGAAACAGCTCTCAGAGGGAATTCGAAGATAACACTGACCGTCTACTTCGACTGCGGGGAGTTCAGAAGGCAGTTTTTCACTCATCGGTTTCAATAACACCAACGACGATCTGACTTCATTGATTATGGCCTCCATGACAAGAGAAACGGACTTCTCGACCCCGATCGCCCAGATCCTCCACCGGATCGATCACTTCTCACTCATTCAGTGATTGAATTTCTCGCGGTTTCGATTCTTCCACAGTGCGCGCCCCCTCATGAATGGTAGCGACCGTTTGTTATTTTCGAAAAAGTGGAGAGGGGAGCGAACCTTCAAATTGTGTGGCGCCGCGTCGTCCCTCACAGCTCGTCGGGATGACCCGACTGCACTCGTTTTGCTCAGTATCGCTGGAAAAAGTGCTCAGTATCGTTTCGTGCCATCCATCCGTACCACGCCGAAAAGTAATCGTCCATATGCTCACCACAGGATTCAAGGTATACCAGGAGTGGCCTTCGTTGTGCGTCGGGGATTCTCCGCGAAAGATCGGTGCTCCGGAGATCAATGGGACTCAGTGATTCCAGAAGTGTCTCGAGCCTTGCCGATAGAGGACGATGTCCTCTACAGACACAATGTATATCTGTGAGTATTCTGAACGATCGGAAACTGCCTCAGGGGGAGCATACAAAAACGCTCAAGTATTATTGGAGTTCCGTCAGTGACAGTGACATGGTGATTGCAGAGGTAGCCCTGTGACCTGGCCGCTTTCGACACATCTGGAGAAATCAGCATACGATCAATGGCTTCTCACGAACATCAAGAACACGGTTCTCGGTAGCATTGATCAGAATGATTGTCGCTTCAAAGGGCTACCCGCGGAAGATCTTCCAGACAGGTACTGCAAGTGGGGAAATTCGTCATGAGTTCCTAGTAACATTTTCTTGTTCCACGGTGACGTCTCAACGGAGACAAATTCGATCATTCCAGCCAAATCATCACCGCGATCTTCGAACAGAATTCCCCCGCTGATGATTCCCGGCTCCTCGAACTCAGTAAAAAGTGCTTTCGTGCTGGGGATTCTTTACGAGCTAACTATCGAGGCGTTTATCGGATTCACTATAGAAATCATCACACTTTTCTCGTCGGTAGCAAAAGTCCTTTCGCAAACATTAACGCATAATCGACTTCGACGAGGTCATGACTGACGAGGATCATTCTACCGGGAATAAACTGTGAATTCCTCCTCGACTGGTGACTCTCCTTCGTGGTATCGGCACGTTCCTCCGGAAACGCGAGGAATTCGGTCATCTATCGGAGTATGCCGTGATCCGCATGCAAAACTTCCGCGATCGGAGAAAATAAATTTGTCTACAATATTGAAGCCTCCACCAAAAAGTAAAGGAATGTTCCGCGCATGGTTCAGCGATAGCGAGCTCATTCGCATTCGAATCAGCTCGAAGCGAGATCATGAGTCCCTGTCCGGATATTTCCTTGAGGAAGCGGCATGTCAGAGAATACGTGTGCGGAAGAAATATATCCTTAGACCATCCATCACTTTCCCGGTCTCGATGAGCCCAGGACGTACAGCAGCGGCCTCTGGTGTTCCTCGCGCAAAGGCTCATCCTCGCGCTCCCCGAGACTCAACTCAGGAGTAAATAGGAGGAGAAAACAAGCGTTGTGAGCACACACCGGTTCTACCCCGGCTACGTATCCCAAAACTTCCTCTTCTGGGGTGCTCAGAGTTGAATACCCGATCTACACTCGCTAAGAAGCCTTCATCTGTATGGTTCAGAGATCGATGCTCTGCATTGTATAAGACCTAGTATAGGGGAGCATCGAGAATCATCTTTACTTTGCGTGTCCTGCCGCCTCCCGAACCCCCAGTCTGCCATGGCTAAGTCGGTCGTTCTCATCTGGCTATCTTTTTTCCTGGGCTTGTTCTTCATCTTCATCGGATCAATGAAGATCACACCCAACATAAATAGAGATATGCATCGCGAAATCGTAAGTATGACTGCAGGATACGGCGCGCGTGGAGGGTCAACACGTCCGGATTCATTCGGAAGGAGAGCCCTGAGAAGCACGAGATTAACCTCTGCCTCTTAACTCTAGCGGAGGAATTTCCTGAGCTATTCCAAAGTATTCCCAACGAACGTCCTCCTCAATATGAAAGTGTCCCCCAAGATATTTCGTCTTGTGATCGGCTGGACCGAAGTCTGCTGTGGTACGACATTGCTCCTGATCCCCGGTAAGTTATGAATCCTTGGGCTAACTGGCTCCGTCGGGTGATACCTCGGGTCAAGCATGAGTTTGAGTGTGAGGGGCCGAATGGGACTTGCTCGAACGGCAAAATATATCCTTAGTGGACGATCGCACAATTGTACGTCCGAGGAAGGAATTTTTCGATACTTTTCTTGTATTTCACAGGGTGCATCAAACAGTTCGCAAACCTCTGTTTGCTTATCGTGTGTACAGGTGCCATTTACACGCATCTGATGTTGTGGTAAGTCCTCCTTCTGTCGGGGTAAATCGATCGTGGCTCCGGATACTCGACTCGTACTATCAGCGATCTGCCTGGGACGACAGAAAAAGCCTGATAGCGAGTGAGTTCACATGTGATCTTCAATCTGTAATCCGTATATTCATCTTCAGGGATCCCTTCGAGCGGATGGCTCCATCGCTCTTCTTCACCTTGTTGCTTCTGTGTCGCCTGGTGGTATACTATCAGGTCGGTTTTCCTTCAGAGCACGAAGTTTCGCAATAATTTCGAACACAAGTTCCACAATGGAGCTAGACATGGTCCGCCTACTATGATGGATAATATTTGAGCCCTCATTCTTTGATACAGGTCAAAAAGAGAGAAAATATAATGGAGGAACGCAGATTACTCAAAGCTGCTCGTGAGGCTGAACCTCAGGAGGTACAACTCAGCGCGGCGAAGAAGACCGTTGCCGAAAATCGTGAGGGATCCAGTCAAAACGAGCATCCTGCGGGGAAAAAGGAGTCGAGGAAGAATAGACGCAAGATCAAGAAGGAGGAATGAAGCTTGTACCTTCCCATTTTGTAGTTTTTTACGATCGCGGTACGCTGAATATTGAACAAAAAAATAATCAGAAGATGGCGGACGTCCTTTGCGGAATTTCGGTTTCGATTGAGCTCTGCTGACTCCTCTCGAAGGGTCGGTATCACGAGATCAAGCTCGGCGAGTTCTGTGCGACACTGATGCATAAATATCTAAACGTACAAGTCGGACGCCTTACGTTCGCTACTCCCAAATTGTACTAGCGCAGCTAATGTGTCGCGAAAGCCAATGGTTTACGGCTGATAAGAGGAGGAGCGGGAAGAAAAACAATACTCATGGATCTGCACGGAGGAATCTCAATAATCCACTCTCGGAACCTCCTCGAGGTCCCCGTCATCTTTCGGAGTTTTTTCGGACTATAGAGTGAATGATGTAGCTCTCAGAAGCGCACTGAGCTCGACCGACCAATCTGTGAATGTCGACAATAACAAAAGCAATTCCTGATGGTCGGTCGATCACGTAATCGAGCGCAATCAATAAAGTACTTCTCGAGTAAGACAGATGCGCTTCTTCTGATTTCACCAACCGAGAGCGAGATCAAGACTCGAGGAGACGCGTGCTCCTGAATGACCCGCAAATCAGCGCTATCCCGATCAGGTTCGTGGAAGCGAGCGCTGAATTATTCACTGCATATGGCAAGCCATTCGGAAGCTTCTCCTCCCCTCCAACTCGACACCAGCGGGCTATCTCTAATCGTGACATGATTGAGTCTTCTCGTTCTCCCCGTACCCCAACAGCACAAGACCGAAAGCGCCACTCCCTATGGGAGCGGGCCATCGGATCCGCATCGGGCTCGATCAGCTGTCCCGCTCTAATGTTGTTGAAGGAGCTGGGTTGGTCTCATCGTCTTTCGCGCAAGCATCCTTAGCCGATTGTCCGGACAGGAAAAGTAATCTTTTCGGGTCAGCTCCTGCACAATGCCCGCTCAAGTGGGAGATGTGTGTACGTGACATCACCTGATGACTGACATCTCGCGTTTGTGGAATTCAGTCCTGATCTTGTGCGTGAGATCAAACAAAGCGGCGATCCCCAGCACGCCCCATGAACCGCGTGACGTCTCCTCGCAGAATGCTCATCGCAATATGACATACATTCCGACCTTCCACGCCTGACGCCGAGCGACTGTCAGTATGAGATGCCCGCTCAAAGGCTGCGCGAGTATTCGAAAAGCCCCGCCGAACGAACCGCATCGCTCGATGCGGCTGATCGGCACCCCTCAGCAGTGTTTATGAATTGTTGTTCTGAGGAAGTTCCACCGGAGTACGAAGTGTCTTGTGCATGTTTCCCAAAAGAAACTCATAGCGGAGGTCCTCATTCACATTTTCCTACCGCTATAACACACTCCCCATGGACTCTAAATGGTGAGCTCACGCCGTTTTCGCTAAATCGAGGAGCAGAAGTTTCAATTCGATATATACAATTCTCGACTTGACGCTCAGAGCATAAGTCTCTGAGCAGTGCCAAAATCGATATCTCATTCAAGTCACGGCGCCGGGGGAATCCGGCCACGACTCTCACGGTCCGAGTCTCTCGAGCGGATCATCCCAAGGTTCGCTCAGGAATTCTCGACGGACTCTAAATAATCGAATCGACTCGAGAGTCTTCCATAAATTACGACCTTCCCAGCTGACCGGGGTTTTGACCGATGCGGGTATCGCGTCAGTCGCTTTGAGGGACGTCATTATTATTCTTGATCATTTACGATGGCTCAACTCAATACAGACCGAGAGCGAGATCAAAGTGGTGATCTCACCTCTCGCGGGGTTCCTCCTTAATGATTTTCTCTGACAGATTAAAGTATTCATGTGCTCAATGTTTCAGGAACGAGAAAATATCAAATAACACATCGGACGCGACAAGAGCTCTCCAGCGAGTTTTCGTCGGTTATCTAAAACCTCATATTACGCGGAAGGATCTCTTCGAGATATTCAGAAAATATGGCGAAATAGCTGGTGCGAATTTGGTTCCCTTATATCTTATTGCTTCTGACCATCAAGCTCCGTGCCGAGCCAGCCCTGAGATCATCTCTAAGAGTTGGATTTTCCCTGCAGCTATATCCATTAACCGGAACGGTTATGGTTTCGTCGAGTTTGCTAATGAGGAATCCGCGCTACTGGCCACGGATGAAAATGGTCGGCCGAATAAGGGTGGCGTCTTTCAAGTGAGTCTGCGAAGAATGCTTACCCCCGTCGGAACCGCTAAAATAGGGGCGAATTATCTTGCTTGGAAACTCGGTAACGGGGCGGTTCGCGGTGACCCGGGATCCGCCAAGGATCGCCTCCGCCCCCCCCTCGAGCCCCATGAACGGAATATACAGCGGCAGCTCGACGTATTTCAGGTCAAACAATGTTCCCCGGGAGACGTTCGCAAGAAAGCGCCAACACGGGACCGAAGTCGTAGCCCCTTGCCCCCGAGGTCTGTGAGAGTTCTTAGAAATCTGTCCCGTTTTGATATTTTTTGTGCCGTTAGCTGCGATAATGAATCCCTCGAGCTTGCAGTCACTGTTTTCCTTCGCAGTCGAGCGACGGCGCCAGCGAACCATAGTCCACGGAGGCGTTCTTCGCCGAATCCACCCCACGATCACCGATCACGGTCGCCGACCGGCGCGCGGTCCTCGTCATCTACCTCGAAACCTAAGTGAGTCCAATTATGTTGCTGGATCCCCTTGAAAAACGGAAAAGAGATGGGGCTTCTGGATATCCCGTGCCGCGAGTCGCGTGACTTCTGGTCGATAGAGAAGATCTGACCCAGCTCAGCCACCTTGTGCGATACTTCCTGGAAGTAAATGATACCATTCATAAGATATCCCTTAATACCTTTAGGCCGGCTGACGAAGTCTCCCGGAAGCCGAATGATTGTGAAATCGTTGTTATGTCAAAACAGCTCCGTGACTACGCTGAGACGGTTGAACGGAGACTGAAGAATTTAGGTCTCAAGGTATTTGGTACATAAATCATAAAATTTCCTCGCTTGCTGAACGGGCTTTATGGCGAAAGTCGACCGAAGCCCATCACGTATCTCGTTTCCGCTCAACTTCAGGTGGATGTCCTATTCATGAAGGATGAAGCCCTGTTGACTCAGGCGCTCGACGATCTGAGTCTTCGTGGTACTCTCTATGCCTGCGTCATTGCACAGCAGCACGAAGTTCACAACTCCGTGACTCTGAACGTTCTGTACGGAATTCCCCAAGGTAGCTTGCCGGCAGGGAGCGGTCTGTTTTTTTCCCCCGAACTCCCAGCTGAGTTCTTGTGCGAGCACCTCTCGATAAGGAGCCGAATTCTTCCGTCGTATTTCACCCCGTCCATCGAGCAAGATTTCTCAAGAGAGCTGTCTCGGATGGGATTTTCGTCGGGGCAGGATGACTGACGCCTTGAAATTTTTTCGCTCTCGTCCTGCTTTCCTTTCGCGCTTTCCGAACAACCAGATTTTTGCAGAGCACCGAAACATGCCAATAGACGAAGCTCTCAAATTCTTAGCGAAGAATTTTCGGGAGCACCTCGAGCGGCAGAGAGATCGCGATAGTGGAGACGACGAACGGGAAATTAAATTTTTGCTGAAGCTTGTAATCGAATCGCGTTACATTTCGATCAATGAATACGATCGCCTTATCGATCATCTCCGTTTGAAACGCGATCAACTGGTGAGTACCTGCTCGCGTGGCGCGATGATCCCCGACTCAATGTCCAGATAATAGCCGGTGTCGGCATATTCTGACATCTGGGAACGATTTCAGATCAAGGAGGAGATCGGAGATTCGCGTCCGGTACCCGCTCCGAGTAGAGCAGGATCGTCATCATATCAGAGCGGCTCGAATCCGCGCGGCACAGGTGAGCTCGACATCATTAGGGGCCCTCAGAGAGCAAAGCTCCTCGGCTAGATTTTCTCGGGTTCGCTGAACTCTACCCGAGGGTCGAAGCGAGTCCTTCTCAACTGATAGATAGATAGATAGATCGGAGGGGGAATTGTCCCGGGGAGCAGAATTATCCCGCTCGGTCGCTGGTTGTCGTCGCCAAGATTTTTTCTGAGCGCAATAAAATCAAGGGGAAAATTCACAGATCCCTACGCAACAGCTCCTGAGCTGCAGAACCAGCAACTCCATGACCAGATTCGGCAACTGATCGGGACGCCGGCACAATCTCTGGCCCCAGCGGCTGCTCCAATAATCACGAACACAGGCTCTGTGGAGCCCCAATTCGGATCATCGAACGATCTCGCCAACAGTCAAGGCTCGAGGCCGTTTCTGAATCTCAACAACCCAAGAGTGCAGGAGGCTTTGGACAAACTCATGAAGAATGGAATTAGCCGGCCGAACATGGTTCCAACCGATCCGCGGACATCGAGCTCGGCTCAGGTTTTGGAAGCGTGTGAGCCCTTCCCTCTGCACGTTGGCGGGGGAGCACCCGGAGGGGGTTTCGGAGGAACCTACAGCACAGCATTTACGAATCCTTACGATGCAAATAACACCATGATGAGGACCGACCGGAATTCTCATTACTCCGCGGGCGACGGACGCTATTGAAGACACCGCCGAAGAATTCGACTGGCTCGTATACGCGTCTTCGCCTATTCTCGGAGGCGTTCCCTTGTGAATGGATCGCTACCAATACGGATTCGAGACCTCGGTTCGAGACGCGGTCGAAGTATCGGCGTGGAAGAAAATCCATCTCCCCTCGCCGGCGGAAGTATGTATAGACTGTTCGCTTCCACTATGGAATAAATGAAAGATCTGGCCAGAAGGCAGACCCTTCTTGCCAAAGAGAAGTTCAGCATGTAGCCACGTCGCGAAGGACTCTCCATTGTAAGTTCCAGCGAATAAATTGAATCGATCACGGCTCTATGCGTCTCTAACAATGAGTGCCCGGAGCGGAAGCTTTCCAGGGATTTTTTTTCGTTTCATTCGCCTGCCCCGAAGTGAATCGTTCGGAGAGGCCGAATGTTTTGACTCCTCCGATTTTCGATCCACGGTATACTCGAAATCCGGTTCCATCACCAGCCGCGACTCAGTGGACTCACTGGGCGAATTTAATGAAAATTACTCATCTGTTAGCATGTGGACGATGTTTCGCGCAGAAGATTGAGAATTTCTAGTGGCGGACCTTCCAGGAGAAATTCGGACCAGGCCTGGGAAAAGGGTCTATCCTCTCCGGTGGGCTTGCCTCTCGGGACTCGGGATCGACTCCGAAAATCCCCAGCGTGCTCGCCGCTTGTAGGAACTCGGAGCGAGGAAGCAGGACTGCGGACTCGGCTCTACAGAGGGCGGCGACTTCGCTTCCGCACGTAATCCAGATCAGCTCGAGGCTGCCTCAAGTGAATTCTGGGCCTCCCTTGCTCTCACGAGCTCCGTCTAGGGACTGCTCACCATCCGCTTCGGAGGGACAGGCAGCACGTTTTTTCGATCGGAGCTCGGAAAAGAGTGCCGGCGGACTCGCGGAGTAGACTTTCGCGGACGTGAAAACTAGGGGAGCATCTCGCTGACTACCAATCCTCTGGAATCGGCTTTCCGGCTCCCCGAATCGATTTTGAGTTAATGACCCATGACAGAATATGGGGGTTGCTCCTCGATGAAGAAGGGATGCATCTCGGAACATCACGGTAAGTCTTGCCACAGGTTGATATCCAAAACGAACTAAAACGAACACCGCTCGATCGGCAGTACAGAATAAAGTCTCATGGAGTCAGGTCTCGAGGCGGGTTTTTGTTCTTTCTGGAGAAGATATCGAGGTTGGCTCAGAATGAGGATGGTGGGGAGCGATCATCAGTCTGTCGGAAAATTCCCCGAACGAGCTGTACTACCTAAATCGGGATTCGACCGAGTTTCGCATGGGGCGATCGCAGAGATTCGACTTCATTTATTGCCTTTGTACAACAGGATATGAATCTGGCAGAGGAGCATAACGAGTAGCTTTCCCGGTATGGTAAACATCGATTGTGGCGACCGTTCGGCCGGGAATCCAGAAAACTCCTCGTGACAGCTCAATTCGGAGATTCCGCTCACGTCGTCGTCAACTTGTCCTGTTTGTTTCGGGATCAATCAATATCATCAATGATGCCGAAAATCCTGAAGTGCAAGTCGGCGAAGTTCGGACGCAAGTTCTGCTCCAAATTCCAGCATTCACGCATCATTTGGTAGACTTCAACAGGACATCTCTCCGGAGGGGGCAGACGAACCCCATCTACGAGAGCGTCACCTATCTTTGTGGGCTCATTAGAATCGAGGATCGCAGGATCCTGTCCGCAGGTGAATATTTCCCAGAGAGCAACGCCGAAACTCCAGATATCGCTCTTGATCGTGAACCTGTTGTAGAAAATGGATTCTGGAGCGTACCATTTTATGGGCAGAGCACGGTTCGGCGTGCAAACATCGTAGTAGTCCTTGTCGAGGATACGCGCGAGACCGAAATCGCTCAGTTTGACGCATGTTTCCGACTTGACTAGAATATTTCGCGCCGCCAGATCCCGATGTATGATCTTCTTGCGTTCTAAGTAAGCCATTGCGCTCGCCACATCACACGCGAACTTGGCCAGCACCTTATTGGTCAGTATTCTCTCATTGGCTTGTAAGTACGCAGATAAGGCACCCAGTCCCATGAACTCCATGACTAACAGGGTTTCATCTTCGCGTATAACTCCCAAAATCTCTACGATATTTGGGTGGGAGAGCCTTATCATGATGTCCATTTCATTCTGCACGTCCTTGTGGCTATAAGCCTCAACCGAGGAATTCATCCGCTTCGCGGCGACGATCTCCTCCGAGCCATCTGCTCTCGTCAATACGGCTCTGTATACCTGTCCGAAGTAGCCTTTGCCGATCAGTTCGTGTAGCTTTACATCTTTTCTCATCACTTCCCACTTCTCGTAATCTACTTTGTCGTCGTCTTCGACACTCCTCTCATCCTGGCTATCGCCATTAGGCTGGTCGTCGTCATGAAGATCGGTGTCGAACGTATGCCGCGACGGAGCGATCGAGCTTATATTGGATAAAGTATCGTATTCAGTCCCCCGGGTCCTCAAGAGAAACTTTAGCAGCTTGTTCGATTTCCAGTCTTTCCTGCTAGCTATGCTCGACTCGCTCCCAGTGGAGTTCTTCCGGGAAAGTTTCGATTCCCGGACGACCTGCCGCAGTGCGGGTAGCTGAGTTGTTTCGATCCTGGAAAGGTTCGTGCTGTAAGTCAAAGGCAGGAAAATTCTGTGGAGCCTCCGCTCGGCCACCCTCATTGGAACGGGAGGCGGGAAACATCGAGTATTGCCTGGAACGCATCTTGTAGAGAGATGCGAGCAGAACTCACTTTGAGCCTCTCGCTGGCTGTAGCCCTCCGGTCCCCCCGAGCTTCTCCCCATCCCTGGGCTCATCGATCTGGTGCAGGATCCGATCGATATTTCGGACCATCTCGTCCGGTGCGTTGCGATCGTCGGGATCTCGGAGCCAGCAGCCAGCAATGATCGGATGGAATTCTTGCGGAACTTCTGCCAGGGGCAAACAATTTCCGGACTTGAAAAACTCCGTCGCTTGATCCAAGGGCACAATTCCAAACGGACTGCTCGCGCGGTTGAAAATTTCCCAAAGAGTCGTCCCGAGCGCGTATACATCAGCCGCTGGGGCACTCGCGACCGAGTCCATGTCCTGAAGGTGCTCGGGAGCGATCCAGGGCACGTCTTCGTCGGTGTACTGCAGGACTCCTGGCTCTCCCAGCTTAACCTTTAGGGGACCCTGCGATCGATCGAAAACGAAAACCGAGCGGCTCCGTATTTTTCCGTGAACGAATCCGTTCTCCTCGAGGTACCGGACCGCTCTTGCCAAACAGAGCGCAACATTGCACAGATCACCGGTCGTGAGATCTTGGGTGGAATTCCTAGAAAAGTAATGCTGAGATTAAGCTCAGTGATAGGCCTCGAGATGAGGGGAAGCCTCGAGGGGTCATTCTCGAGCAGGAGCATGTCTTTCGACATCTGCACTCACTTGAGATAGGCATCGAGCGATCCTAGAGGCATGAACTCCGACGCGAGACACGCTTGCGGTGAAACTGCGAACCCAACGATTGGTACAATATCTGGACAATCCCAGAAACAAATTTCTGTAGCTTTACGATTGAATCTCTGGAGCGTAGCCGGGTCATCACTCTGAAGTATGCGGCATACGGCAGCCAAGCCCTCATACGTTCCCTGTAAATGAATGAACGTGAACGATCACGATGTGCGTCCGAGGTCTCCCGGTCTTCTCAGGCGTCGAGCTCTCCCGGTAAGGCTCATCAACAACATGAGAGAAGTCGATACGGAAGAAAAATGCGTATACCCTCAGAACCCTCTGCTGTCGATAGGTGCTGCGTAGAGGGGGGAGCTCGACCTTGAACTTCTTCAAATTCATGAGCTGAATGTCTTTCTCCTCTCTGAAATCTCCGGTGGTGATGGCTCCGCGGCAGAGTTGCAGACCGGTCTTGTCGCGATTCCTCGGTGGTAGCTGATACGGTCGTCCGCCCAAAGTCCGCTCACTCAACAAATCGTCCCAGCTGGCATAAACCTTTTTATTACAATCGTTTGCAAATATCAAGCCGCCCTCGGCACGTTCACAGATTTTGTGAGTCACGTAATGATTCTCATCCAGTAGAATATCGACATGGTAGACCCGGAACCGCAATTGGTCCTGCCTGACGAGAAAACAACCCTGGAATCGTTTAATTGATTAGACAACAATCGATACGAAAAGGGACAGGACTGTGTTCTTGTTGAGATCTTTCCCAGATAGGACTTCTTCTCCAATACGATTTCGAAGGTCTACCTCGCTCCTCAGGTTTTTCGACAGTTTCCTGCGCATAACGGATTCCCCGAAAGGACCGTGGATTTTCCGTTTCTTCAATAGGATCAACGAGGGCGGCTGAATTTCACTGCAGAGACACGCCGTGAAGCTCTCAGTCATACGATAATATCCGTCAACGAGCGTGCAGAACTGTGAGAGCTTCCCGCTCGCGAACAGCAGTGTGATCGGCAGCTCATCGCGAAGATGGAGCTCAACGGTGTTTTCGTTGATTATGAGCAGGTAACTCAGTTGCGTGATTCGGAAGGTATCACCAGGCAGTTTGTCGACGAAGATCGTCATATGAGGACCGTTGTCCGCTTCCGTTGTTTCATAATACAGCTGTCCGACGACCACTCGCGCATCGTAAGACGTACCGTCCACCAGGATGTTCGCCTGGAAGACGGACCGAGCAACTATTAACCCACGTTGCGAAGTAATCTCGATGGGAGCATCACCGATAGAAGAAAATGAAATAAAGCTCCGGTAGCCTCAGTAAGCCTCACGAACCGTGAATTTCTCCTGACGGCTGCCGGGAAGCACCTCGCAAGCACCGTCGATGAAGGCAGTTTGGACGGAACTTAGATCTCCGTCGTGATCATGGAAGCATTCGTCGACGCCGGCGATGAAATTTTTCTTCACCACAAGTTTCTTCCACCATGGAAACTTCCAGTCCGCAGGCAGAGCGGTCGATTCCAGGAGCTCTGCGGTTTTCTCATCCGAGGGAGCCTCTCCCCTCTCGATCAGTTGCCTCACGTAATCCAACGCAACGAAACCGACGAGATGACTCACCAGCTTGTGACTGTATTCCTTTACTTTGAACTCGTCGAAAAGGTAATAAAGCATCTGATGATAGTACAGGTTGCGGGTGTTCGGTTCCTCTATGCGACTAGCACATCCCGGATGAAATCTGGAATATTCAAAATAAATTCCATTCGTAGTTACTACGCAACTTTCGCCCGATATCGGCCTCGGATTGCTGGCTCGGCGAGAGGAAACCAACCGGATCCGCAATTGAAGCTCGAATTCCCCTCCGTCTCCTCCAATGCTCTCGTGAGCTCCGAGATAAGCTTTCGCTTTCAGATCGTACAGTGCCATAAGATATCTGCAAGGGGATTGATGAGCCGTCGTATGCGATAGGATAGGGATAGCGGTGACGCAATTCATCGTGGGGAAAAGCATGACGAGAGAGCACCGATAGCGCGAAATTAAAGATCAAGGGCATTCCGACACTGAGATACCAAACTCAGGTTGCTGGTCGGAACAAATGTCGTATGTCTAGAGTGAGTCGTTGGAGAGACTAACCTATAAATTGGAGGAATTCCATTCAGCTCGCAGGCCTTCTCTATGAGATCGTCCACAGAATGGGCTTCCTCTCCCGCCAATCGGATTAGTGGAATCGATTTCGTTCGGACGAATTGCGCCATGTCTGAAAAAAGTCCCCAACTCTCCTTTGCGACGGTTCCTCCAGTCAGCTTGGTGCTCTCAGGCCGACTCCATGAACAGTCATTCTTAAGGCGTATGATTGGGGCTCTCACCTGTTACCGACGTCTGACAATGGAAATCTTCAGCGATCAGCTGCGGAGTTCGAGTTCTGGAATTCTCCCGCGCACGACTGCGAATGTCCCCGGATGATCACTGAATACTTCTCATTGACACGTCCATGGACGCTGCTCGGCGTCTCGAAACAACACTGACTGTGTTCACCGACTACCCTGTAGTCCGGCGCCAAGAGAATTCTCCGTAACTTTTCGAATCGCAGCGAATGATGAAATGATCCTGCCTACCACTCATCAAGACCGCGCGCGGTGAGTACCTCTCGTGCCCCGCTCCGCAGGCGAGAATCATGTTCATCATACCTGGAAAATGCAACTCCAGCCCGGAAATTCGTAATACGCAGCAGCACCTCCCGGAAGGCTGAGCAGAACGATGAATGCCCAACACGACTCATAGAAAAGTCCAACAGCGTATACCTGATCTTCGACCGAGGGGCTTGCAGCCGAAGTCGAGGCTCACCCAGATGGAGTTTCTATCGAGCGGAAAACTCCGCATTCTTCGGACTTCCTCGCCGAGTAACTGAAGGACACGCATTCCTGTTCTCCTTCCCGTATAATTTGAGAAGGAGAACGAAATTCTGAGTTGACTTACTGGGTTCCTCGATGGGACACCGACAATCGATTCCGATTATTGGTGGACTCGAATAAGAAGATGGGTCAACGCGAACCATTCCGGGCTCAGCCTTGTCGAGATTTTATTCCCCCGGTGCGGGGGAACCTTGGTACAGCCCCCAGCTAAGAGGGAGAAACGTATATCTCAACGATATGCTATACGTGGGGTACTCCGAGGTCCGAGTCTCTTCTGTCTCCGTATTGGACCGGCTATACCACTTAATCAGTTGAGTCCACCGGCCACTGATCGTATCCATGGAGGCAGCCGTCTAGTTTTTCATTCACCTAAGAAAAACGAAATCGATCCCGCGCGCAAAATTTAGAGGGTTGTGTTATTGTGCCGGAGTTTCGGTCCTTATCCTGAAGTTTGGCGACAGACCCTTCGCCGTAGAATCGTGGGAAAGAAATCCTGTAGCCGACAGGTATGATTCAGCGTGAGCTGTTCCGTCAGTGACCAACTACCTAATGATCTTCTCGAGAGGCGCAACCCTTCGAAATCGCTCATTCCGATTAGATGTTCTATCGGTTTCGTTGTTTGCGTCAGTATATTGCAAGGAGCCGAGGAAAAGGCGGATCTTTTCTGTTTTCGGCAAGAAGTTCCCCGTTCCCATTTATCGAGGTCACCTGTTTCATCGATCAACAGAATCCAGTGGTACCTTTCCAAGTTCTCCTTGTCACTTTCCTTGAATCCCTCCCGCCAGGTATGAGCGAGAAAACCGGCGAAAGCTCTGCCGACGAAAAGAGCGATGATGACGTTCGACCGACCTCTGCTTATTTCTATTGGATGCTTCAGCATCGGCAGCGATTGATCGAGGAGAATCCCGGCCTATCGGTGACCGAGCTTGCTGAAGTAGCCGGTGAGACCTGGAGACAGCTGCCCAACAAGGATAGATGGATAAGACTGAATAAGGAGGCCAAGGCTAAATGGGACAAAAAGCACGGCAGGGTTCGTTGCTCGAAACTCCCATGCACCAATATCTCGATTCGTTTCTCAGCACCAACTTTTCCTAACTTCATCATCGAATGTGACAGCTCTGGTCAACCTGCCCGTAGAAGAACATCGAGTTGAAGAGCTCAGCTCTCGATTGCAGGTTGCCGATGATGGTGCAGACGAAGTCAGCGAGGATAGCGGAGAGGATGAGGATCACGATGAGGATGGAATCAGTATCGAAGTTAGTCTCGAAACGTACGGCACAGCAGGCACCAACACGTCTGAGAGATCAGAATCGAAGCGCACCGAGGAGCATTCTAAGGAGGAGACATATTCGAGCGAGGATCGCCGTCATGAGAACGATTCTGAGGGAGGATCACATGACGAGGACGAGGATATATCTGCGAGCCGATCTTCGGAATCGAGGAAAAGAAATGCTAAGCGCAAAAGCGACAAAATCAATGTCGCTAACAAAAAAGATGTACGGAGGTCGGAAGAGAAGTCGAAGGATACGAAAGATAAGACAGCTAAAGACATGAAGTCAGGGACCTATCATCATGTGAAGGATGGACAGAGGAATCCCAGGAAGAAGGGGAACACGAACGACGCTGACGGGAGGTCTAAGGTAAAGAAAGAGCCAGAGGCTCGAAAGAGAAAGGCTTCAGTAGCTCAGAAGAAGTCCGATGATAAAAAGGCTGGGGGGGCTTCGGAGCAGTCTAAGCACAGGAAGGGTTCACTGGCTCAGAAGACGCTCAATAAGGAAAGTAGGGCTCAGGCTCCTGAAAAGCCCAAGAAGAAGACCAGTCCGAAGGCTAAGAAGGCTTCTGATCAGAAAGATAATGAGAAAGCTAGGAACGAGAAGTATTCGAAGACTCAGAAAAAGACTGATGGAAGGGAGCCTGGGGCTCTGAAGGAGCCTGGCAAGGGAAATAGGGGGAGGCCGAAGAAGGGCGAGGATCCGAATGCTCCGAAGAAGTCCGATTGGAGAAAAGATGATAGGAACGAGGAGTATTCGAAGACTCGGAAGAAGTCTGATAAGAGTAAAGAGACAGAAACCCAGAAGAAGTCTGATAAGAGAAAGGAGCCAGAAACTCAGAAGAAGTCCGATAAGAGAAAGGTGTCAGAGGCTCAGAAGAAGTCCGATAAGACAAAGGAGGCAGAGGCTCATGAAGAAGTCCGATAAGAGAAAGGAGTCAGAGGCTATGAAGAAGTCCGATAAGAGAAAGGAGTCAGAGGCTATGAAGAAGTCCGATAAGAGGAAGGAGTTAGAGCCTCAGAAGAAGTCCGATGAGAGGAAGGAGTTAGAAACTCGGAAGAAGTCCGATAAGAGAAAGGAGTCAGAGACTCAAAAGATTTCCGATAAAAGAAAGGAGTCAGAGGCTATGAAGAAGTCCGATAAGAGGAAGGAGTCAGAGCCTCAGAAGAAGTCCGATAAGAGAAAGGAGCCAGAAACTCAGAAGAAGTCCGATAAGAGAAAGGAGTCAGAGACTCAAAAGAAATTCGGAAAGAGTTTGGAGACAGGGATCCCGGAGAAGCCTGGGCACAAGAAGAAGATGATGATGGACGGAAGGTCCAAGATTGAAGAAGAGCCAGAGGCTCCAAAGAGAACCCTAAGCCAGAAGGCTTCGCGGGCTCAGAAGGAGTCCGTTGCTAGAAAAGCGAGCGGAGCTCTGAAGGAGTCTGAGCATAGAAAGAGTTCAAAGGCTCAGAAGTCCGGAAAGGCAAGTGAGGGACAGGCTCCAGAGGAGCCTAGGGACAAAAGGGATCCGACGGCCCAGAGGGATTCTGATGAGAAAATTACTGGAAAGGCAAGCAGGAAACAGGATTCAAAGACTCAGGAGAAGCCTGATGAGAAAAAGGCGCCGGAGGCTCCGAAGAAGTCTGAGCTTAAGAAGAATTCGAAGGCTCGGGTGAAATATGAGATCGGGAAGGATTCTAAGGCTCAGAAGAAGTCTGAGGTCGAGAAGAACTCAAAGTCTCACAAGGAGTCTGAGCTCGGGAAGAATTCAAAGGCTCAGAGGAAATCTGAGCTCGAGAAGAATTCTGAGGCTCAGAAGCAGCCTGGGGTCGAGAAGAATTCAAAGTCTCAGAAGGAGTCTGAGCTCAGGAAGAATTCAAAGGCTCAGGGGAAATCTGAGCCCGAGAAGAATTCTAAGGCTCAGAAGAAGTCTGAGCTCGGGAAGAATTCAAAGGCTCCGCAGACGTCTGAGCTCGAGAAGGATTCTAAGGCTCAGAAGAAGTCTGAGCTCGAGACGAATTCAAAAGCTCAGAAGAAGTCCGACAAGAAAGAGGAGCTAGAGGCTTCGAAGAAGTCCAAGCACAGAAAAAGTTCAGAGGCTCAGAAGGAGTCCGAAAGGGAAGACAAGAGAAAAGCTCCGAAGGAGGCTAAGGACAATGAGGGTCCGGGGGCTCAGGAGGAGTCTCATGAGGAAAATGATGTAAAGGCTATGGACAAAAAGGATACAAAGACTCCGAAGAAACTTGAGACGTCGAAGAAGTCTGGAGGCAAGAAGGAGTCTGAGTGCCCGAATCCATTGAAGTCGAGGATCGGGGATGGAAGGGAAAAAGACGCTGGCAGACAGGATTCCAGGGCATGGAGGTCTCCGTGTAAAGACGAGGAACTTCCTTCTGATGGGACTTCTGATAAGGAAGACCACGGAAAGGGGACGGGGAGCAGTTCCCAAGCTGGAGAGCCGAGAAGATCGCCAACGAAGCGAAGGAAGGGGCTCGAGGCTCCGAAGGAATCTAGAAGTAGACAGGCTGCTCAACAGGCTCAGCAGGAATCCGATGAGAGGAAGGTCTCTCCCTCGGAGCAGAGGAGCAAGAGAGAGAAAAATGAGGGCGTCAAAGGAGAGGAACTGTCGATACCCGAAGTCCTGGAGGGAAGACTTACGAGGAATCGAACTTCCCGAACGGCAAGAGAAGAAGGTAGTAAAGGAACAGTTAGTCGAGATGTGAAATCGACATCTGGGCAGGAGAAGAGACAGTCCTCTCAAGCTCAATCTCCCAATCGTGAAGAAGGTGGGAAAGGTGGGGAAGGGAAGAACCCAGGCAAGCAGCCTCCGCGCTCCCGAGCCACAGAGAGAGAGAACCCCACTGGCGGATCCGCTGATGAGATTGACGATGAGAATAGGATCAGGGAAGATGAGCCTGGGGGTAGAACATCGAAGTCTGCGTCAGGGGAGGACACGATCTTCTTCGAGAGGAAGAAGCAGGGAGCGATGACTGGAGCCGTGAAGGGTGCAGAATTGTCGGAAGCGCACACTGATGGAGATGAGCCCAAAGGGGAAAAATCTGCCGACAATGGCGAATTGAAGGAGAATGCGAAGTCTTCGAAAGCCCCGCGCCTGGGAAGGAATCCATTCGAGAAAAAATCCATCTTTGAGGAAGCGGTTGATGCGATGAAGAGTTTGAGGAAAAAGTCGACGACGTTCAAAAATCGAAGCTGGAGCATGAAGCTCCCGTTGTGGAAAAAGTAGATGGTGATAGGGACATGAATGATCCACGTGAGCAATCGAGATCGCAGAAACAGGGGAAGTCCTCTGAGACTGAATCTCCCTATCGCAAGTGGCATCCTCAGTCGCGAAGAACGGGGAAAGAAAACCTCACGGGCAAATCTACCAGGAGGGAACTACATGAGCCTCGTGATGGGTCTTTTGAATCTGCACTCGGAAGGAAGAAGATCCCTGACGAGGGAAAATATCACGAAGCGAGGACGGAGGTCGTGGAGGATGCAGAACTGCCGGAAGCGCGAGCTGGAGAAGATGAGCTCACCGGGAGAAAATCTGCCGTCAAGGCCAAGGACGGCGACGGCAAGGAGGATGCGAAACCATTCGAAGCCCTCAGCTTGAAAAAGAAGCTATCCGAGAAAAAATCCATCTTCGGGAAAGCGGCTCATGCGATAAAGAAGTTGAGGAAGACAGTCGACGACGTCAGAACGCTCAAACCCGAGGATAATTCTCTGGGTACGAAACGAGAAGAAGGTGGTAAGGGGGGAAATCATGAAGTTGAGCAATCGGAATTGCGACGGAGGGAAAGAAACTCCTTCCAAGGTAAATCTCCCCATCGTGGAGAAGCGGAGACGGAAGCCGAGGAGGGTGCAGGGTTCTCGAATAGGCAAGCTGAAAGACATGAACCAGCCGGGAAAGAATCCGCCGATATAGCAATGAACAGTGAAGGCGAGGAGGATGCGAAGTCACGGGGAACCTCAAGCGTGAAGGAGAAGCCTTCGAAGAAGAAATCCATCTTCGAAGGAGCAGCTGATCTGATGAAGGGTTTGAGACGGAAAGTTGATGTCAAGAAGCTCAACCCGAAGAACGCGGCAAAAGATTTATCGAAACCTGGAACGGAGGACGAGGGAGAGAACTCCGACGGAGCGGAGTCATTGAAGATGGCGAGTCAGAAGAAGAATCCACCCGAAGGGCAACCAGTCGAGATAGCTCAGAAGGCAGCTGAGACAGTCAATAATTCGGGAACCGAGCTCGCGGACGCTGAAGCAGATCCGATGGTTAAGAACGGGATGAAAGGAGCCGGCATATCTTGGTCTCGGAAGAAACGTATCCGACATGAGGTCTCGGATGGAGAAGAATCCGAGATACGGCGGACACCACAGAAGAGAGCGAAGGAAGATTGAGCCACTGAACGGAGGAGGGGAACGGATGATTCTCACGGGACACTCGTTAGAGGGATAGGTAACAAACACGTGCCCGCATATAGGGAAATCCGAGTCGACTTATCTCTCATCATTATTCGTTATTTAGGATAGACAATATCGTATCGAGAGGGGGGTTTCGGCCACAACCAGATCCAGAGACATTTGGATTGACCCGGGAACAATCACGCGACCTGTTGAGACACTTCGCGATCGACGCTCGATTCCCGAGTAGCTCCTTACAGGAAATAGATCGCCCTGAGAAGTCCGGAAATTATTAAAATCGCGTCCGATCAAACCAGCAGGTTCGTCCAGCCAGTTCTGTTCCCAAGAGGGATCTCACCTTCAGCTCGCTCTGGGAGATTCATTCTCTTTAGCGGAGGGTCGAAATCATAGAAACCTTGTAGCTGCGAGGGGGTCATGGATGCGGGGAAAATATCAGGTACTTATTGTTAGATGAACTCCTGGGAAGATGCTTGGACTCCTGCCTGCTGAGATGCGCGGGGGACGCAGACCTTGTTGTCTGCTCTCGGATGCTCCTCAGAACCCGTAGCGAGGGAATCAGCCCGAAAGTTGCATGCTCATGTACGACCTGAGTGCGAATCCCGCATCCTATGAGTTCCCAGGGCTCATCAGTGTGGAGTGCCGCCATTTTGAGAATTCGCGGAATTCGTGGTGTTGGCTGACCGCTTCCACGAGTCAAGTTTGCGAAGTCGACGACGATGGACAAGTGTCTTGCTTCGAGTGATTGAAATCTTCTGAATTACTGATCACGAAATCATCGAGGAGGAGCTTCTCGAGCTCTGGGAACGAGTCGGACATCCCGCTCTACACTGAAGATTGTGCCTCGAGACGAGAGCCGGAGCTAGTTTCCAGCATACCGGATTTTCCTATATTCCTTGACAAGAACCCACTCCCGGTATGAGCCTGCGCGGCGAAGGCAGGCGGAAGCGCAGAACACGCAAACGCGAAGAGCACAGCGTCGGAATACATTACAAAGGGAAAATTATACAGCCCAAAACCGCCTATTTCCTCTGGATGCTGGAAGAAAGAACTTGGGCTCGGGTTGTCCGAGAAAATCCCGAGCTGAAAGGGAAGGAAATACTGGCGGAATGCGGCAGACAATGGCGGGCTCTTCCTGATCGGGAAAAATGGGTAAGGAAATTCAAGCGATTGAAGAAAGAATGGAAGGAACACAAGGAGAACAAGATGAAAAATCAGGTTTGTGACGATGTTCTGTTGAGGAAGTGATGCTCGCGCCTGGGCTCTCATTCATATATATCGTGCTAAGATGGACGAACTCCCCTTTCATAGTCCGACGAAGATGACGACGACTCAGATGAAGACTTAGAGGAGGAGGATTGAGCAAAAGATTCTCGATCTCATCGAGGGAAAGAGCCCCCAGCTCTTCACAATAAGGGATTTGGAACCCGGAGATATCGTCGTGAGATCTATTGTCTGGAATGTCGATGTCTAAAAGAGAGATTCAATCCCAGGGAGTAGCCGACGCAGCCCTAGATAGGAGTCCCTGTCCATGAGCGCCCGTCTTCGACTTGGGCTCATAATTTCCGACAGAATAAATTCTTAGAGATCGGGTAACGCATGACCATCCCAGAGCTATGACAGTATCATGAGCTCTAGGAAATCCTCATCGGATTCGCGCCTCTGAATCGTCGTAGCTCCTCCGCTTCGGACAGAGTTGAGGCCCCGCGGAAAAGTGCGAATGCAGCGAAGACCCGTCGGAAACTTCGGTCCGAGTGGAGTGTTCTCGGAGATTCCTCGAACGGCAGCGCATCGGCATCGAGACAAACCCCTGCCGAGCCGGTTCCTTATTATCACGAGGTACTCGCGTACTCAGTGCCCACCACATTCTTTGTGGCAGACGCCTGGACGTCCGGCTCCGGCGCAGAGAGCTTGAAGTGTCCGCTGTCATACTGTCATGGTGATGCCCTGTGGTCCCGATCTCCCGCCGATCGAGAATTGAAAATCGATCCGGAAGAATAGAAACGGACAATGGGTGCGGAAGCTCTTCCACGAGAAAGGATGAGGGATCAATCAACTTTTCAGGGCGGAGGGCTGCAACCAGAAAGGGAGAGCTTACATGAAGGAAGCTCCACAAATCCTTGCCCGCCCGATTGCAGTCTCCGTGTCCATCGGAATCCAGTTTTCCAGAGATTTCGACGGGCCGCCCATAGTGCTTACAGTGCTCAGTTGCGAGTTGCGGGTACTCCAGTAAATAGGTACTCTTCATCTGCATAGAGCGATACGCATATCGAAGCGTGGAAAATCAAGTTCCGCATGTCCGAATGGAAGTCGCTACTTTATACATCTAAGTGAACAAAGTTATCTGAGTTGATATCGCAAAAATCGGAGTGGTGTTCGCACTCGTCAATTCCCGACGCTGTAGTCGCACTCAGGTGATTTTTCCACTTTTGGTTTCGGGTTGTAGACCGTATTGGTACAGCGAATCATGCGGTCCGGGAGGGATCGAGTCGCAGCCGAAGCATCGTGCGATCTCCTGATTCAAGCCGTCGACGCACCCTGGCGACGTATAGCATACGTCCCGACCGATTCTGATAGAGGAACGTGTATGTTCTGAGCCGATCCACAGATACCGGCTCGTCTTCATGCGCTCGACTCACACAGTGGAGGTCCCCGGAAACGGACGCTCAGCCGGCCGTGAACGGCGTGCACCAGAGCTGAAAAAGGCTCTCTCCCCGCACGCAATTTTCTTCCCGTTTCCCCTCTGGAGAGGGCTGATCCAGTCGGAATAATCACCCCCCCCCTCCCTTCCAGGCAAATGAGTAGCGGCAGAAGTTCTGGTGGGAGTGAAGAAGTTTCGGCCAAGAGTGAAAGTAGGAAGACGAAAGCGAAAGGCAGAAAGGCGGTTCGCCCGACAACGCCTTACTTTTTGTGGATGCTGCGGAATGTGGACCGGATCAAAGCTGACAACCCTGGTCTGAGCGTCGTCGAAATCGCGAAGATTTGCGGCGAAGAGTGGAACGAGCTTTCTGATCAAGAAAAATGGGTGAAAAAGAATAAAAAAGCCCGGGAGGAATGGCGCAAAAAGCACGGACCCTACAAGGTTAGCACGGACGCTCTCGCTCCTCCACCCCTTGTTGCGGAGGTGTATTCAGGAATCTCACGCGTGTTCCCTCCTAAATTCGATCAGCTTTCGATTCCAGAAGGGGGCGCGTCAAAAGAACGCTAGCGAAAAAGATGAAAAAAGCGCAAGTAGAAGCCGCAAGAGTAAAACTGAAGAGGGCAGCGAGGATGATGACGACGACACTGAGGAGAATGATGGTGGCGCTACAGACAATGACGAAGACGAGGACCAAAGTGGCGAATAGAGCGACAGTACAGAGGGCAACTGGGGTGAATCGGCGACAGGCGGGTCAAGCCATAAGGCGAATCTGATGACTCATGAAGAAATTTCTCGCTCCAGCCATTCATGTATTCTTCTTGAGAATTCCACTGCGAGGTATAGAAAGGATCTGATCAAGAATTGAGTCGCATTGCGCTTGGGATAAGTTATTTTCTGCATGTTGCTCCAGCTCAGCCATGGTCGAGAGCCGATTTCCCTTCTGGAAATCGGTGGACCTGCAGCGGAGCCACCTCGACATCATCCTCGTGAAGGAACCGCAGTCCCTAGAACGTCATCCACCGGCTCGTGACAGTCTACAAAGCGCGGAATAGCAGTAATTGGCTCTCCATATACGACTCCGGCGGACGTGTTTTGCGTTTTATCAGTGCGCGCGTAATTCCTTATCTTAGTTCCGAGCCCAGCAAACTGGAAAGCCATTAGTAACTACTCATTAAGTAAGCAAATTATGACCGAAGATGGATGCATTTCGACAGAATCGAAAGAACACGTCTAGATTCACGGACTCGTCCTGGATTCAGAGGGACCTCGGACGGTTTCAAGCCCTGGGCTCTCAGCCATGGAGCCGTCACTTTCAGGAACCATGAAGTCTAGAAATCGCTCATGAACCCTGGGAGTCTCGAATCATAAATTCTGGAAGCAGTGCTCAAGAGCGAGCTTGAGAGGATTCTGACATTGACTGCGGGATACACTCATCCCCCAATGGGACTATGCTGTTCAGCTAATTGCACAGAGCTCGCGCAGCTCTTAGGTGTCGCGTCGATGATCGATCACTAATGCCCGCTACGACGACGGGTCGGGTCAAACAGGGAGGTGGCTCGTGACCAAGCAGAATGATCGTTATGCCCGACCCGCTCAGACCCACGGGAACTCCTGGGACACAGCTATGCTAAGTTTGCGTTCCGAGGCTTATTGTGTGTTACAGAACATCGGGACAACTCCGAGGAGGGAAACGGGGAATCTTGAGCTCGCTCAGCACAGATTGATGAAGACCGCTGGATATAGCGGGTTGCCGACTTTGACGTCCATAGATGACGCTACCGATATTCGGCTGAAGAGTTTCAGGACGTTGCGAGGGAGTTTACAGCAATTTACAGCCCAGATGATTCCCAAAACTAACAGACAGCCCATAAAACATTCGCTTCTTCCACCGAAGCCGGCTGCCAGCTGAGGGCGTCAAGTTCAATTGCGCGATCTTTGCGAGGACGGGCTCATCGAAAAAGTTTCCGACAACGTTACCTGACTCCAATCGGTTCGGATCCGCACTGCTCAGCAGTTGATCGTAAGAGTTTCTCGGAAAATGAGGATCTGCGCTCTGCTCCTCCTCTCATTCATCGCCGGCACTCTCGAGGTTTGTCTCTGTCCCGATAAATGGCTCGACTCACTCAGAAGTATAAGTCGAGGCATGCCGCTGCGTTATATAAGTTCACTGCTTGATATCCTCGACTTGCTCTCCCCAAAAGGTTCGGGTAGACAATGATCTGTGGTCCTACGCCTTCGGCAGCGGAGACGATGCGAGCCCTGCAAGCGAAGAAGCGCCACACAACTCGAAAGTTCCCTTCTTACCTCTCGCAGCTGGAAATATCATTCGGGAGCTCGGTGGGTTCTTGTTTCGATTCTAATCCGGAAGCCGTGCTGGGTATACCTTACGGACGTTGAATTCTAATATTTATCAGCGGTTCTAAACCTGCGCACTCTCAAGAGACGAGGAATTTGCAGAGACGTCCCGCACGGGAACTCTCGAAGAGACGCTTGAGAGATTAATTTGGAGGAAGATCGATCTTGAAACGAAATTACGAGAAGCCGCTGATTTCGGATCACCTCTGACCATATTCAAGCTGATGAAAGAACGCCTCAATCTCGTGAAAGACCTTCACGATGCTCGAGAGAAGCTCATCCAGCTAAAGCTCGAGAACCTTGATAAGAAGAGGCAAGTCGCGAAGAGCATCGTAGACTCCGAGGACGCCATTTCATTCGATTTATTCATGCAAACGCTGTCGCTTATTTACGGCAACGATCTGGAAGCGAGAGCCGCCGAAATCAAGCGGTAAGTTCACCGAGACTGGGAAGAAATCCTTGGGTCGAGGGGGATATCGAACTCGTTCCTTTGAGATTCCAAAGCTTTATCGAGCGCCCCTTTTTCGGAACACACGCTCGTTTCCAGCGAGACTGAGAAGATGTTCGAGAAGCCGTTTCTTCGTCCCGTCGTTTCGATATCATCACCCGGAGGCCTCCCAAGGAATTGCACTGTTGTGACAGCGATATACCAGAACTTCAGGAGACACCACACTCCGGTTCTGAAAAATAATGAGTTTTCGATCGTCACTACAGTCTCCGGATTCACAGGTGAGTCGGGCCTCGATTCGAATATTCACTGTGATAAGCGCCGTACTCCAATAATCTCCGAGACATCCGTCTGTCTCGCCGGGCAAGTTGCTTCTATGAACATTACTCGAATCCACAGCTGACAGACTTCATCTTGGAGTCGATTTCTTCGGGGTCAACTACACCCAGGCGAATACCGAGTCTGAAGATAGTGGAGAAAATGAATTGACCGATGAGTTGATTTTCCGAAAAGAAGTCATCATAACTCAGATGAATCTGACACGAGCCCGTCTTCAGAGAGAATTTGAAGATCTCAAGTCTCTCACGAAGAAGCAGAAGAAAACTCTCAAGAAGCGACCCAAAAAAACCTCGGACGAAATCGAGAAGTTGGAGAACAAACTTGCGAAAAAACATGCCGAGATCGAATATGGAAAAGCCAGGAAGCAGATGAAGCTGATTGTGAAAGAATTGGAGAGACAGCAGGAATTCTTGCGGGGACTCGACGCCATCGAACGCGAAGCTCTGGTACACCAAGAACAGGCAATGAAGAAGTTCCATAAGAAACAGCGAGATATCTTGGCAACCAAGCTCAAGAAGAAGGATAAAAAAATCGCAGATAAATCGAGTCGGAAGGAGAAGAAAGGCAAAAAAGCCGATGAAAACTCGGCGAGCAACAATACTCCTCAAAAGGCTCCGAGCGCAGATTCTCTTTCCGAGTCGGACGCATCTCCGGCTCTGGATGTGACGCAAACTTCGGCGTCTATTTCGACGAGCCGAGATTTAGAGGCGGGGGAGGGAAGCATTACTTCTTCCAGAACAGGCCTCGACTTCGTCACTAAATATACCGAGTTCTCATCTGAAGAGATACAGGATGGGATGAACAATGAAACTGTATCGACAGAAACGGACGTCGGCGTCGATCTCCAGGGAAATGAGGTTTCGCCCGCGTCGTCGGGAGGAATGTCCGGGCTTCAAAATAACAGCTCTCCGACGTCTTCGGACTCCCGAGTCAGAGCGGACAGTGGGGCCGGGGAGAGCGACAAAAATCAGCTCGGTGGCTCTCAAACCGATCGACCCACTCGAGCCGACCCGAGGAGGGATCAAGGACCGGCAACAGATGGAGCCTTTTCGTCGGATCGAGGTGAGGAAAATATCCTAGAAGAGGATGAGTCTATCGGGGACGATGGGCGACGCGATGGAGCAACAGAAAGTCAAGAACTGAGTGATGTGTTCGGCGAACCCGGGAACCCGACAGATCTGTACCCGGTTCCTGACACTGCGACAGTTTCAGACGGAAGATGAGCCCAGACTCACAAGAACACGAAAATAACTGTGGATATCGCTCGTAATAATGTTAACGGAGTCTTCAAGATAAAGTTTTGTCTCCCCTCTCAATTCCGCGTCGCTTGCTCTCTCCAGCTAGCTCCTCGAGAGACGGGGAAGCTCGACCTTGATCCCACGGAGCCCTCAGCTCGGGTTACTTCGACTCCCCGTTTTCTTTCCTGATAAAATCAAATTGTTTTGTTCCAATGCGTCCAGTGTACCTAATGCGATGACAGTCAAAGGTTCCGCGGTTTCACAGGGACAAATATGGAGAAATATAGCCCGAAACCTAGTACAAGGAGTCCGCGAAAGCCCAAATAGATTTCATATCAGTACGATGGGGAAACCGACGATTGGGAAGACGCAACTCTCTTATCTAGGGTTGCAGCCGGTGCTGATAACGAGGGGTACTGACCCTCGACCCCTAAAACTGGAGCTCTCCGAGAGACCAAGTACCGTTCTTCCGCGGTTGAAGTCAGGCAGTTCTCTCAGAGCTCTCAAGGAGATAACAGAGCGGATCATCCCGCAGAATCCGAGTCGGAGTAGTAGCAGTAGTCTCCTGGATACTTTCTTTCTCAGATAGGTAGTATCACGCCATCGTATCGTCCACGATTGCAGGCATTCCTTCACAGGAGGAGAAGCTGACAATTCTTCGATGATTCATTCTCCCGATCAAAGCGGGGGTGAGCCGGTGTCCCGTTAAGAACTACTGTGGAAAGAATAGCCCAACGTCTTTGAATCGATACCGGTGAAGGTAGCACTTGAGGCTCTCTACCCAGGTGGCGCGGGAGCCACGCTCAAGCCATCTAGCCTCTGGCCAGCAGCGGCATCCTAAAAGGAGAACACCTACTGTTGGGACTCAGCCCTTGATGGCGGGCGACAGCAAAATATTTTTACTGAATCCTAGGGAAGCGAGTTTTCCTATGATGTCAATCACGAACTTGTAAAACTCTGGAATTCATTGAGCCACAAGGGGGAGAGCTCCGAATCTGAGCCGGTTCGTCGTTGAAGTTCCTCGGAATCGAGCTGTTGGAGTGAGCATTTTCTGGCCGCTGAGGCTCCGCGGTAGTGCTCTCCCTCTGTGTAGGTCCCTTCCATACCTCATGATCTGACGAGGCCTCCCGCAGTCCTCAAATGAAGAAGATTCGATGCAAACCCCGGCATGAGATCCGCCCCCGGGGCTTTCCGCAAATCGAGATCAATCTGTGTAGTGTGAAGGCTCATGAATATCACGCTCAATCGGTCCGGTATCTTCTGGTTTACAGTGGAATCTCGTGACCACGAACCTCGCGGATTCGGCGAATTCTGTTCGTTGTAGTTAGCAATCGCCGTGCGAAAGATTTTTTATCATTATGTCTATGGCGAACCAGCCTTCGGACGGAGGAAAAAAGTGTTCGTTGTTCCGTGAATTCGCTTTATCGGATATTCTTGAGTCGAGATTTTTCTGCACCATCTATTGAGACTTTTTCTTTTGATCGAGTGTTCAGCATCCGCTTGATGAGTACTGAACCTAATACTCCCGCAGGCGCGGCTGTCGATCCTTGGGAACTCGCAGCTCGCAATCGATGAAAAAAAGAGGAAACGTGACCGCCGATCCCGTCACCTACCCCGAAGAAGTGTCGTGGAGGTGGTTCTCCCAAAGGAGTAGATTAGTCAAGAAAATCGGGATTTATTTTCATCTCTGGATATGGAGCAGTTCTCCCAGATGTTACGACGCAAGAACGGATGAATCCTTTCCTGAAAATGTGATCTATACAGATCGACTCCTGGGTTTCTAGCTTGAGAACAGAACATAGCACCGATCGGAGGAACCCCCGATCGATTTTCCCCGATCATTCTGAGCTCCTCCTGATCTACGTTCCACCCGACTCACTCAACTACAGGGGTTCGAGCGTTGGATATCGCGCACACCAATCGAGGCTTTCTTGGACTGTTGACGAGAATTGAGTCAGCTCAGCTTCTGCTGGGTGGCGATATTCCGATTATTCTCGTGCTGATTCTTGAGATGAACGGGAACACTGCTCCCGGAAAGAGTGTACATCGAGCCTACCGAAACAGGAACTTGCCGGGAAATTGGCCTCGTATGACCGATTCGGATTTAATTTTCAGATTGAATTGCTGCGAATCCCACTGTAAGCTGGGTCGAGAGTCTAGAATCGGGTCACGAATGGATAGACACGTACTCGCAGTTTACGCAGGCCAATCCTTCCCCTGCCATTATTTACGTAAACGGAGTTTGAGGACAGGCCAATGAGGCCACTCCGGTGTGGAGGGCTGTGGGATGGCCGTTGGAGCTCGTGATGTCCACATGATGTCGGAAGATATACATGAGCGAGTTCAGTTCTTCCATGGATGTACTTCTCCGCATACCAGCCCTTGACCTTCAATGTCATCACGCTCGAAGAATTCTCGGATAGCGTCCCTTTCTCCAGTCTGGCCGAATGACATCTCCAGCCTCATAACGAGCCTTATGCTTGTGAATCGTGAGACAAGGATACTTTCACTTCGGGAGCCTTCGATAATGATTGGTCCGAAGCAGGTGCGGCATCCAATTCTCTCGAAACTTTCATTTCGCGCCGACTCGGTGGCGCGCGTGATGAGAATTTCCCGACAGGTCTTCTCGTGCTCGCCTTGTACATGATCTCAGGGTCTGGAATCAAAGGGCAGAGTGAGCGAGTGCAGCGGAATCCACAACTTCAAAATATGTCCAAGAAGTGAACCATACGGGTCAGAGATATTCAAGGCCGGAGATAATACTTGATACAATATTGCGGTAGAAAGTTGTCGAAATATTGATCTTCCATGTTCCATAGATCCAAATATCTCCGATTCACAACCTCCGCTCTGTAGCTCACGGAAACCGGCTTCGGTACTGACTGAATAATCCTCGGATTTTGGACTCGGATCTAATAGATTTCCGCTCGATGCGCAGAACCAATTAAGCTGCAGCGCGTTGCGGAAGTGAAAATGTGACAGTGTGTAAGACGCAGGAAGAATCGTCGGCCGTGTATTCAGCCCGACAGCGAAGTTCAGCGGGGAGACCACCTGAAAGCGACGATGAGACGCCAGCCCACAACCCACAAGCCTCTGCGAGGCGAGCTGCTCATACTGAGAAAAAACATGGAGCTCGCAGCCTCGGGGAAAGTCAACAGAGGCTCCTCCGGCTGTACGCGACTGCCGGAGAACGGGCGAGAAGCAATTCTGAATGAGAAAAGAGTTCTTGATAGCGGTCCCTATCAGTTGCGAATAAAGTTTCTCAGATTGAGTTGTTCAAGCTCACGTCCGGAATACCCCCTCTCGGCCGGACACCGTTGAATGGCGGCGCGACGCAGTGAGCGAATCGATTGTGAAACCCTTCCGCAACGCGCAACGAATACAAGGTCTGGTTATTGCGGAACTTCAAGAGGAGCCCCATTCGAGTACTGAGCGTCTCGAAGAGCGGCCGTGGCGGCATCCGCGAAGGCACACTTCTGGCTAAATTCCAGATTTCAATGGATGGCGCAGTTCTTGACGGACTTTCCTGCGCCGGCTGCCTCCGCGCTGACTTTGATATGAGGGGAAACATTTAGAACGAAGGGCAAAGGCTCCACCTCTAAATAAATGCTGTCCGACGCGCTACACACTTCCCAACTCAGTCAGAAAGTCTGTCAGCTGATACGACGCAGTTGGGCTTGGCGTCCAATCGCGCTCCGATACCGGTCTTCACGGTGTCCCTTCAAATGCCTCCGTCGTCGGTCCGAAAGCGACGAGTCTGTTCATATTCTAACTGTCGATTAGAAAGCCGAGACCTTTCGCAAGTGAATTCGACGAGGATTCTCGTTTCGGCTCCGATACGTCTTTCAGAGAGCGATGAATGAATTTGACCGTGAAAACTCCAATGGGGCATCGAGTCGACAATATTCCGATCCGGAGAGATGCCGATTTCCGAAGAACATTCCCAAGCTCCCAATTAGAAAAAGTTCGTTGCCGGCCACCGGTTGGGCCGTGGATCGATTTTCATCCCAAACGAACCGGCGTCGTCATCTCGCTTCTCTCCGCGGTTGCTCGACTGGATGCTTGGGTTGACTATTCGCCGTTCGTTCTCCCAGCTGACCGACCGGCAAAGCCGGTGTTGAGCTTTCTGCGCAGTTTCCACTGGATAAAAGGTTCTTGAAGCGATACGGTCCGTCGGAAGATGCCGGCTGTCCGGTACTTTCAATCTATGGAGTTGGAGAAGTTTATCAAAAACTCGATTGGAACTGAGATAATACATCCATAGACGGGCTGTCAGCCTCGAGCAGCGACAGTTGTCGCTTCCTAGATCGAAATACATCCGGAATGCGAAGACTGAACTTGTCACAGGACGCCGCAGTAGAATCTCACTCTGCCGGCCGGTGATCGGTCTCATCTCCGCCAAGGTTAGACTGAAACGCAGCGAGTGGGTAAGGTACTCGGAGGGTCCCCGATAGAGCTCGGCGTTCAAGGTTCCGTCTCCGAACCCAGGGGGGTCGACCCCAACAATCGCTCGATTTCATGTTTTCCATTCGAATTCGCTGTGTCGTCTCAATGAATTTATCAAGCGGCGGGAACGCTGCGCAGACGATCACGGTCGTTCGGAGTCACTGCCGACAAACAACCCTCGGAAAGAGGGCGGATTTTCTCGCAGCGCACGCGCACCAAGCAGCTGACGAACAGCTGATCCGGCTCTCCGTTGCAGGCTTGGAAACGATGGAAAATCATCATGAAAAATTTCCTGAGGGAGCCGATCGAGTAATTTCGAGTGTCATGGATTTTTTCCGCGGAAATTCAGAGAAATACCGGATTCTAAACGCCGGTTTCGGCCGGTGTCTCTGGTGAAGCCGAAATAGGTCACAGTCGGGAGCGGCAGTGATTGGCCGCGCTCTGTCACGTGAGCTGTTCGACTCTCCCTGCGGTGCCGGCCGCCGCAGCTGGGTGAGTTCCCTCGACCGCCGCCGCCGCTGCCGCCGTTCAGGACGACGGCTATACGACGACTGTTTGATGATAACAGCGGCCGCGGAAGCAGCAGCAGCAGAGAATCAGCTGGCTACAGCAGCAACGTACTGACTGTCGGACGAAACTCACGAACAGTGAGAGCTCATCCGCCGGTGGATTTTTACTCCGATGTGGGCAACGATCAACACGCAACAGCAGCAAATCATTGAACCACTGGTTACCGATGGCTATTCGTAGTACCAACAACAGCAACAACATCATCTGTACCAGAGCGACAACAATTTCAGCAACAGTCGAATCGACGACGAAAACAACAACGATATCGGATTCGGTGGTAGTGTTGGCAGCACCGGTGAGAGCGTTCCTACAAGGACAGTCTTCACGCTCATTGTCGCCATCGTCGTCAGAACCGAATCTAACGGAAGAAGAATCCATCGTTAGCAACAGCTAGGAGCGTTCGCCGCTGCTCGAGCAGCGTCCACGGGAACGTCCTCAGCCAGAACTGTTGGGCGGTGTTGTGCGTCGGATTACAACGGAAGCTTATTCTGTCAGCTGTGCAGGTGTCTGAGCGGATTTCAGTGATTTTTTCCATCGATGTTGAGCGATCCCACCTGACGACCGCAGGGTGAGCAGAGCTGTCGTACGTTACTCGCCTCGACGGTATCCTATCACCGTCGACGACAACATCATCACGACCACCGCAATAAACAGTGTGAAGTGAGTGCAGTTCTCAAACTAGCGAGTGCGATTGTGTTGTCTGAAGCGTCGTCCGACTGAACGAGCCGGTAGAGAGATTGCTGTCGAGCGAGCCAGCCAGCAAGCAAGCAGGCAACCGACCGACCGGCCGAACGACCAAGTGGAAGACTGGGCATCGATCATCGATCGTGTGTACGTACGTTACTCAATCAATCACTCAATCCATCCATCCATCTGTCATTCATCCGACTGATTGGCTGATTGAGTTCGGTTCCCCATCGACACAATCATCGTCTAAGTGAACGATTGTTGAGAGATTGAACGACGACTGCTAATCAATTGACTTATTGATGTCCCATTGAACTGTTGACTCTGTGATTGTGTGATCTGACTGGACACTGTGAGTGAACAACGAGAGACCGTGAAATGTCTACCGGTAAACGTCTGGCTAAACGCTCGATTCTCGGTAGTCGGGTCTGCGCCCCAACCGAAGAAGGGATCTATATGCCTGGCTTGATTCAAGCCACCAAAACCGACTGCAGGAACGAGAACATTTACACTGTGTCTTTTCTACACAACAAAGGTGAGCTACATCGTTCTGAAAAAACATCAACTCTCATGATAGTAACTAATCTCCCGTGAGCAATGCTTCGCCTACATCATCCTCTGTGCCGGTTCACTCCGCGAGCAACTACTACACGGCACCGGCAGCTGCCAAGCCGACAATCGAGAACGACCAGAGGGTCTCGAAGGCTGGCCTTGTCTTCATGAGGCGCTTGCCCTTTGCATATGAGAACTTCACGAGTTTTTCACGGCATCCGTTTCTTGCGAAGTTGTCCATTGGGTCGCATGAGGTTTACGTTCGACGGCGCGGCGGGACAAAATCGGTGGGCTTATCTCGAATCTGCGGATACACGTAAGCGATCCCTCTTCGATCCCGCTCTGAGGTCAACAAGGTTCAATGGAACCTAATCTCGACTTTCAGTCCTCTCCTGCATGGGAAGGCTCCGAATAATGTTTTTGTCTCATTCCGTCGCGTCGGCTTTTTTGATAAAACATTCTTGCGGGAAGATTTCGTGCCGGGATTCGGATACGGCGATGACCGAATTTCGTCACGAATCATTCATATCCGAATGCTCGATATCAACAGCTGATCTAGCTTGCTGTGGGTAAGTTTCAAGTGAGCGATCGCAGCGGCAGACCGAGCGAGCCCCGACCAGCTGATATTGTTGTCAAACAAGCTCCTCTTCGTTTCCCTGTTCCTCTCACTCATTTTATCCACCCTCAACTCCCAGCTGGCTGCCGACGGCCGGTCCGTCGCTCATGACGGCGGTTGCGGATCCGAGAACGAACAGCTGACTCCCCACCCGCTCCGACCGGCTTGCCGCCGCTGCTGGCCGGCCTTACGGCCGACCACCCGTTCGGCGTTTCTCGCAGTCTCCTGGTGCCCTCCCTCAGAAAGCGACTCCTGCCCTCACCCTCCTGATCCTCCGCGAGAGCGGTATACGATCTGGGGATATTCCGAGTCGAAATCTGTTCACAATTTTCCCCCGGCAATAGATTAAGGGACCGATGTCGGAAACTTCTACCTAGATCGACTCAGACGCAGTTCTATCTGCTGAGAATTCCCCCATCTTCGCAGACGACAGGCGGCTGCTCGTGATGAAATCGGTCGTTCGCCTACACCGGCAGTCGGGGAGAAGTCAGCTGTTGGTTCAAGTAGATCCCTCCCCTTCCTTTCGGTGGTCGTCTGATAGCTACCCGGTTGGTTGGCCTCTCTGAACTCTCTCGATGCTGATGACGACGGAGACGAGCCCGGAGTTGGTGCCGATGGCACCGGCGAATTCTTCGCTCTCCCCCCTCGTCCATCCTAGTCGCGCATTTACTAAGAGAGGCAATCTATGCTATTACGATCATCTACGCATACAAAGATCGACCGAGCGAGAACCCTGGGAGAGAAAAAGAAAGGGCAACCGAGCATTCTGTTCGACTCTGGGTTAGTGGGGCTCCGGAGCAAATTCTTCTCTATGGGAACTCTCTGTAACCAAGGTCAGTGCAAGGCCGCTTTCGTCGCCAGCGCAGTCGCCGACAACAGTGCCGCGCAGCGAGAATCGTGGCTCGGTCCTCTCTCCGGAGCGCCGCTCCACTCCGTCAATTTCTTTCGAATTCATTCAAAACACTCTCGGTGATACGCAGAAGATATTTAGCTGCGTCTCACGCCTCGCTCCAAGACAGGGATTTATCAGTATCGAATTTCTGAGAATTTTCCATTTTCCGTTCACGGATCGAGTCACAGAAGAAATTCTCGGTCTACGTCGGGTTTCCCCCCTCCGAACGCTCGAGTGCTCTCGCGTCCAAACAAAAACCCCGAGGAGAGACGGAATATCGAGTCGTCGATGCGACTGACGAGACCGCTCCGGCTGTTGGATGCAAGTTTGTCGGTTACTTCGATGTGGGATCGATTCATTTGAATGAGGGCTCCCCCGCCCGACCCCCCTCAGTCGATCAGTGGGTGGGTCCGACGCCCGCCTGCTGACTCGCCGCCCTGTGGCTTCCCATTGACAGCGTCCAACGAGCTAGCGGACCGAGCGTCGGCAGACCCGGAGAGCTTGACAACTTGGCCCTCGCAGCTCTCCTTGTTCGTTTGCTCACTCGAGCGTCGTCGGTTGTCAAAATCGCAAGCTCGCAACCCAGTGGTGGCTTCGAATCGCTTTCCAGGTCATTTTGCCGGCCGGCCGGTATGCCCGCTCACCGAGCCCATTGAAAAGCTCCGAGAGGCAGTCGCGGCGGCGGCGGCGAGTTGCCGGCCGGCAAGTCAGCCGCTCGACCGGCCCGGCCAGTAACAGCAACTCTCACCACTCGAACGCGCAGCGCACGAGCGACGGCGGAAAGACTGTCGGATGGGCTGACACACCGGCTGACGGACCGACGAACAGACGGACGGACGGACATAGCGCAGGGATGGTGGCGGCCTTGACGCCATGTTGGCCCATTCGCTCGCTGATGCTGCTGCTCGTTGCCAACCGCTCGCTAGCCGGTTGCCGGTCGCTTGGCACTCGAGCCGTCTGTCCGTCCGTCAAGCGGACTGGCGGATGGACGAGCGCAAACGCATCGGCAACTTGCTTCGACCGTCTTGCTTACTTGGCAGTAGCGACCTACGACGACTACCGCCGCACCGCCGCCGCCGTCGCCGCCGCTGCTGGGTGAGAACCGGCATTCGCATCTGACTGAGCCGGCACCGGAGTATCGGGTCCCTGGTCGGTCTGTCGGTCGCGGCGGCGGCGCTCGCCGCCCGTTGGTTCCGTCGCTTGGCAGTCGCGCTCTTGTTGTTGCTTCGCTTTGCGCAAGACGACCTTGTCCAGGGTCGTTGTGGGAGGAGAGTCCAGGAGCTTTGCGGCCTCGACACAAACCGCCGCCGCCGTCGTCGCCGCCACCGCTGAGGCCGCCGCCGCCGCTGCTGCCGGCACAATCACTAGTCGTTTTCATATTCGAATTTAGAAATTCTACGCAGGCAGTCAGTCAGAAAGGGCAGAAAATTCGCTCGCCAAGATAGATCAACAGGGGCTGAGCTTTTGTAATGAGGGTTTCTTCTGTCTCCGCGATCCGCGTCGAGAGCCGCCGCAACAGTCGTGAGCAGTGTTAATGCGGCTCATTTTTGACGATATTAACACTTTCGGGCTTTTCAAACACGGGAACCGAGAACCGACCACCAAAAATTCGGAAATAAAAAAGACTAATGCATCGACAGGAAGGCCTGCAGGTCTTGTGCCTACAGGGTAATTTGGAATCATTTCACCGGCTCGAAACAAAAGTTGCTCTTGTTTGTTCTCACGGCGATTGCTGGCTGATGCGCGGATTACAATTATGCGTCTCCGACGGTCCGGATTTCATAGCGGCGCTCATGAAACACGATCAGGAGCTCAATGCGAACTCGGCCCTTAAAATGCGACCTCGACACCGCCTGAACGCCTCTCGTTCCTTCGGAACACCACTTACCGAGTATCTGCAGCTATCGCATCAAGAAATCAGAGATATGACGCCCTCCCTCTTTTTTTATTGTTGATGAAGGCGTCATTCATCGATTTATCAGAAGAAAATATTGGCGACCGCACGAAGGATGCACACAGCTGCAATTCGACGAGCGGGAGAGCTCTAACCCTCGGCGGGTAGATGTGCAAACGGGTCGACGGAACGACACCGACCGCCACGCAGCTTGTTGCCCTCAGTCAGTCAAGACAAACTGACCGATCCAAGGTTTTCGACGGCGCGAAAAAGGAGACGAATTCAAGGATCGGAATCAAGCGAAGAAAGGGTTTTCCTCGACCGAGTCCGAAGTCACGGTCAAACGGAACAATTATTTCGAACCGCCGATACCTTTTTCCGGTTTCCCCTAACAACATTTGTGACGTCAGTGCTCACCGGGGCTGCCTCCGACGCTGGCGCTATGGCAGTCGAATCAATGGTAGCGCCGGCGGCGCCGCCGCTGAAGCCTGTCCATGAATCAGAAGCATTCTCCGTCCGCATCCATTTTATTGCGGTGGCAAAAGCGCTGTCAAGCACCCTGACTGAGTCTTTGCGAGTGTTACATCCGAGCAGCCGGCGGACTTAGTCGTCCGGTCGCCAATGACCGACCAATGAGCTTCGACGCCACTATGAATTCAATGGTTTCCGCTGCGAAAGAAAAGTTCCAGCCGTGTTCGCCGGGAAATGCGTTGGAAATGTGACGTGACCGGACCCACATGATGCAAACTACCGCTATGGAAAAAATCGACGTGGTCCACATGTGTATGTCATTGACGTCGGAACGAGAACCTCGTTCTCAGTTAGTTGTTGCGATACGAGGGACGAACACGCACTTTGGCTTTGACTGAAAAGCGATGGGAGATTTTATTCGGAGAAGCATGACGTTCCGTACATAGCTAATACCTCATAATCGTTCTTCTCTACATTTCAGGAATGACCGGGGAGTACCGCGGGGAGCAGCTGATCGGCGCAGGCTTCAAGTCTGTCGTGTCCGGTCCGCTGAAAACGGGACAGAAAGTCTACGTCACCCTGAACGGACGTGAAGTCTGCGGTGTCGTGGATCAACATTATCAACAGCATGAACAGGTACGCTGAACGCGTTGAGCAAACGAATCGTTTTCGCACGGTCGCGCACAAAATGCTGTTCCGAAGGGAAGAGAAATCCGAAGCGACTTTCGAGTCGAATTTCATTGTTTGCACTACGAATCTAGTCAAGCCCCAGCGGTCTTGCGCCCAAATCATGCGCGAGGAATTACTATCGACTTTCCGGAAGAAGTCGATCAACGGATTGAATTAATAAAGTTTAAAAGACACTGATTGAAGTCGTTCGGGACGCCACTACTTCTTCTATCTCACCGTGCTCTCGACGACGCGACGCCGCGCCTCTTTATCTCGCATTTATTCCTCCGGAACGTCTTCTTCTCGCCTTCGAGAAGATCTTCACAAGGGTGAAATAAACGAGCAGGACGAGAAAAACGTTCACTACCCTTCGCATTTCCATGTTGATATTGTCAAGGACCGTTGCCTCTTTAGTCTCGCGACAGCGACAGGTAAACTGACAAGCTGAGGCTTTTTTTTTCATTCCATCAGTCGGCCGGGTTTTTCCGGTGAAGTGGCCGCAGCGTGACGTCGAAGCCGTTCGGCATGCGCCGTAGTGCCTTCAGCGCTGGGCATTGTTTTGAAATATTGCGCAGTGTTGTCTTGCCTTGACTTTCGGCCAGTCAAGCGACCAGGTTGCCACCGCCGGCCGGTACTTGCGGCGGCAGACCGGCGGCGCAGTGCGCCGGCCGGCTCGCTCATTTGCCCGACAGGTATTTTCTCTTCTCACTTCCGTCCCGACTCAGTCTCGGGCTCAATTATCGTGAAAGCCCGTCATCAGAGAATATGACCCGACGATCTGTACGCTCACAACGGCAATGCGTATAAGGCGCCGCATCGGAATTCGCGACGACTCGAGAATGTTTCTAAGTAAGGGCTCTAATGTGCTTTGAAGGGATTCATAGGAATTTCCGCTAGCGATTCGCCAATTGTTGGAGTCGGAATTGGGGGCAGACCCGCAATAAAGACATTGCAAATGGGTTTGAAGAACCAGCCGAGGTGTTCCGTCAGAATACCCCGTCCAGACGGGCTCGGCTGGAACAGAGCTGTCGCTGTTCGGCCGTTGTCTGGTGAATCGTCGGCAAGTGTAGGCGACTGCTCGTTCCCGTGCAGTTAGAATTTGAAGCTTTAAGTCGGCTCGTGAAACGATGTGTTTTTTGTGTGGTCTATCGCGCGTTACGATCCGGTTGTAACTCTTTCGCCACGAAGAAGCTGGATTCCGGGGCCGACTTGGCAACTGGGTTACAAGAGAAGGAAGAACCGACAACGACTTTTCAGGGATGCGCGGTGAGGAGGGGAAGCGCACATCCGGTACAAGCATCATCGGCAACTCGACCGACTGCCTGCCGCGGGAAGTCTGAGCTGTGGGAGGAGGCGATGGGAGGGGACTCCATTGGATGGCACTGTTTCCCTGCGCTGGGCCTCATTACAACGACTCCCATATTGCCTGGAAATTCTCAGGAAATTATGCATAGAAGCTTTAGGAGATTCGTCGAGATCGGGTTCATTGTTTCTGGGTGCTCGACAGATACGTTGGATTATCGTAGAGTCGGCAGCTTTGGAAACTAGAATCCTTAATCCTGGTTAATAGCTCAGTGCGGTAATCTTGGATCGAATCAGTGAAGTCAGCCGTGATCACCGCAGGTGACATCACCCGCGTAGATTTAATTCCCCCAGAGATTGTCCAAGTGCATGAGGCTGGCAGGTTTCGCTATGCGTCGGTCGTATAGAGATGCTTGCGATGGCGGATGGCGGCGACGATAATAAAGAGTCAAAGCAAGAATCTTGTGAGCAATCGTTGCGTATTTGAGTTGAGAAAAAAGTTTTCCCCTCCAGAGAGGAGCTGACGAGGATTACATTGTAGGAGTATCGAAGTAAATCCAGCCGTTTGAGAAAAAAACCCTCTCCACGTTGAACTCACGAGCTCGTCATACACAAGTGTATGCTCAGCGGTTCGGCACTTCGGTTCGTGGGCCAGCCGAGATGTTTGGTACTTCGCACAAGTGGTCGGTAGGCTGCGGTCGGAGCCCCTGATTTTCTATTTTTCGGAAACTTCGCGAAGGAGGGTCTTCTGAAGAGATCTTCCTGGTTCGAGAGGGTATTTGACGTCAGAACGGAATAAGAATGCTCTGTGATCCCAAATGGGATCGATAAATATGCCCGGACGCGGGAACCCAAGGAAACTTTCGCGGGAACCTTTCGTCGTCGTGAGACGCCCCGCCCGACCGAGAGGGCTACGAAATATTTTTTTTCAACGTGAGTTCCGCTAGCTTCCACGCTGAATCTATATCGGCGTCACACCGGAAGAGCTCAAGTTTTCGAGGCGAGTTCCGTCTTCCTGACCTGGCACTGGTCATGCAATACAATGAAATTCGAGCTCTCACGATGCGTGATCGATCGATCGGACAACTCGAGTGTTCGCTGTTATGTCTGTTTTAATGCCGCCTTGCTGTAACATGTTTCCACGTATACGAGGAGCGTCGTCATAAGCTTTGGTGATCACGTTCCTCAGCCGTATAAGAGCATGACTTAGCTCACACGAGGCCTTTATCGGATAAGCATTTGCTATGTAGAACTTCTGGAGCACGGCGGAGGAAGGAATTGAGCTCCGATGCGCACGAATCGGTGTGCCTCTTCATCAGTGAGCAAACTCGGAGAGATTAGAGGCTCCTCGAAGAGGCTGAAGAAAAGAACTTGGGGAATCGCTCGGAGCGAATTCTGATGTTGTTTCGGACTTGGTCGCGCTTGAACGGAGCGTATCCCTCCTAATGGAGGATGTTTCTTAGGTTTTCGGCGTGAGCTCGGAGGAAATTCTAAAATTAAATCTGGTCGACGACTAGGTCCCCGTCCAAAATTAGATTCCGATAAACAACCAGCGCAGGTCGATCCCACCTGCGAAATCATCCGTCCCAAATAAACGGATTTCTGAGGTCACACGAATCAGTACAACGGAAAGGAATTGAACTTTTAATAATTGGAGCCCGTAGAATTCGTCCACGCGTGCTAATTGGCTCGCCGTGATTACAGGTGCTCATCAGTGTTCATAGCGGAGGCCAACTTCTGCAACTCGTTAAGCGGTTGGACGAAGTCCGTCTTCTGGAAAGCCGTAAAAGCGCGAGGTTGCAAGACGTTGACGTTGATTACTCGAGGCTGGCTGAGGGCACTGCCGGCAAGGGCCTCACCGTGGAGATCACCCCGGCCCAGCTGGGAATCCCCCGAGAGAACGGGTAAGTCGCTTGAATTATTTCTCTCGTCAATGTCGAAGTCGGAAGTGTAGATCTCGATTCGATCAGCGATGCGAGAACACTGGGAGCGGGCGAGACCTTCGGGGAAGATCAGCAGTGCGCGGGTCACCGACTGCGGGTGTTCGGAAGGGAGATCTCGAAGGCTTATTCTCTCAGCGGAGGAAGTGCACTGCATCAGATCTAAGAGATCGGACGGCCTTCGGCTTCATTCTGGCCTTGAGGCCGTGGCAGCATTCCATCCGTCGTAAGATCAGCAGCAGCAGCAGTAGTTGTGGTAGCGGTGGCAGCAGCAGCCTGGTGATGTTCATAGCGTACGAAAAAGCATTAACGAACCGGTTTGAGCGGGACAGCCACCAACAAACCGATATAAATTACGACCGTACTTGTATTTCGTCCTGTGTTCTCTTTGTTGATGATGAGTCTTTGTCGACGATTAGGGGTTATTTCGCTCCTCTGTATCCGCGTCTCCAATATTTCGATATCATTCCGATCTTCTCATCGGCCCTTCCATCGGATGGAGTTGACCGCGCTAGAGACGCGCTCGTCCAGAGCATTGCGGAGACCGGGTAGTGGTGTGATATTTTGCTTTTGACTGCGATCGAACGAGAGGGCTGATGATACTCCTACCCATTGTCGAGCGACCACAGCTTCTAGCAACTAGCTACATGGAACTAATTATTGTACGTGCACGGATACGCCCGGTTCGGCCATGGCTGGTATCGTTCGAGTGGAGAAAGGTCCCTTGGCGGCGGGTACTCTCGACCGACGTCGGCGCGTCGGTTGTTTTCTCCTTGTCCACCGACACTTATCCCTGCCAGGGGAAAGTGAGGCAACTCATCCTGAAATGAGACGGTCGGCATACTGCTGTTTTTCACCGATGCTGGTGCTAAGAGAGCCGACACCGGCTCTATTGACGTTGGCGTAACTGTAAACAACAAACGAACGCGCGCGAAAAAAACGGGGGAAGACGGTCGAAGTTGGAAAAAGAAGAACTAGGCCATGATGGCAAATCGAGAGGAAGAGGTGCCGCTGCCGCCGCTACGGCTGTAAGAGCAATTCGCAACATCAACAACGAAGACGAAAACGTCGTCAACGGAACGCTAGGGCTTCCCCGCGTGGAGAGGGAACATGAATTACGGACGCTGCTGCGCTGTTCGCCGGGCAGGTGAAGCAGCCTGCTTTTCCCCGCAGTTTCCTTGCGCTGTTCCGTTTTTCGTCCGTCCGTCCTGTCGCGCGTTCGTCCTGCGGAATCCGATCAGCTTTGCATCAGCTGGTCGATGCGCCTTTTCGCGGGCCGGCCGGCTCTTACAGCGGCCGCCCGGGTCGGGTTACTGCGTAGTGGAAGGAAGCGCAATCCAGAGCCTCTGGAAAGAGAGATGAGAGCCAACAACGACAGGCAAAACAAAACATGGTTACGTAAACAGCGGCGCACTCTCTTTTCCTGTTATCCCCCGCATGATATCGTCTGTGTAGCTTTCCTCGAAAACTTCCCCATGCAAGCGAACGATTCCCAGCGGGGTCTTCGACAGTTGTTATCAGCTGCTCACGGCACGGCCCTCGGATAGCTCTGCCCGCCGTTTCCTCTCAGCTTCCCGCTACGTTATTTTCGTCAAACTCGATGCGGAGATCGAGTAGGTACTTTGTCCGTCTGTCCGTCCGACCGTCCGTCCGGCCGTCACATGCTGAGGAAAGCTCCAAATCAACGTAATCCGGGAACCGAGTTTCATGGATGAATAAACGGCAATGAAGGGCGATGCATAGCCGCATTCGATTGTCGCGCCGACCGTCGGTCGGTCGGTTGCGGTGACTCGGCACCGTGTCCCTTTGATTGACTTCGATGAGTGGAATCACATGTATTGAGATGATCAGCGCCATCGGAGCATTAAGCCGACTGTCTTCGAGCGGACTAATCACCCACTTTGTACGCAAAGTGGGTCAGCACGGCCGTAGCGGCACGCATCCAACACATTGAAGTCTGTATCCAGACCGAATGACTTGCCCCTCTCAACATCGTTCCTATCTCTCTCGGCAATGACCGAGTGATTCCCGATTCGATCGTGAGCATCCGACAGAGTCTTCCGATAGGATCCGTGTCTTTGGGGAAAAGACCACGTAATAATCATCAGTGGCCACTACCCGTGGATCACAGGGTGGCTGACGGGGTATCAGCTATCACAGTGTGTCGAGAGACCTTGATTCGGCTCGTTTAAATTCGACGGGTAGATGTCGTAGACGAGACCAATGGTCTCGCTGCCCGGAACCTAGACATCGCATAGCAACATGCACGTAGAGGTTCCTGTTGCCAGGGTCGATCGGCGCAGGCGAGGCGTCCGGACAGAGAGATACATAAACGCTGCTGGAGGCAGAGAAGTTCGTCGACAGAACCTCTACATACAGCATAGTAGTTTGGTTAGGCAGCTTCGCTAGACAGGGTGGCTGCCAAGCTGGCACTGTGCTCGCAGCCAACCCGCTCTCACCGCTGCTGCTGCAGCGGCACCTGTGACGAGTGACGTCGTAAGTAAAATCGACGACGTCACGGAAACCGGCAGTGACGCAGTTGATGCGCGCGTCGCCCAACAACAACGAACGAGGGCGACGGCAGCGACCGGCGAGCGAGATGCCGGTGGACACGGCGCGGCACAATCCTCGAGCTCGATCGAGGGAACAACGTACTCTTCCTCTTCTTTGTGCAATTGTTGTTGTAGCCGCAACGAGCTCGTTATCTGAGATCGAGAGCGTCCGTCGAACTTCGAAAACACGGATATCGAACTTCCCGACATCAACAGCAGCTGATCTCCTCTGGAGACAGTGCGGGCGGATAGCTGCTGCTGCGGCCGTGCCGACGGCAGCGACCGAACAATCCGCAAACTCTCGCAAGGGAATCGCTGCCGGCTGTGGATGCCGGCGACCGGCTCTGTGGAAGCCGCGGATAAACTCCAACAAGAGAGGGAGAGTGGAATAGTTTTCTGGAATAGTCCCGCTGCCGGTGCCATTGTAGTGGAGGCTGCTGTCGCCGTTGCCAACTCAGACCCGGCAACTGCGTCGAGTGCATGATTTTTGTTTACTGTGTTCGCTTTGACGCTTCTACGACGTTGTGATCCGACAAGGAGAAACTGCGTGTGCAGCTGCAGTGACGTTACGTGGCCGCAAAATACGGGATGTCCGCGCCGAAAGTCGCAATATCCGTCCGCCCGGGCCGTCTGATCTCCGATTCAAGGTACTAGTTCATGATTCTGCGCAGGGACGAGCCCCCTCTCCCAAGATATGGCGAACAAGCTATTTTATCATCGATAATAATTACTTATCGATTATCATCGAATCGCTATCTCGCGAGGATGACCTGTCCTGGCCGCGAAATCAGTATTCCCATCATGGTGAATTCATTGTCGATTCAAGTCCTGGTTGTTTCGTCCCTCCCGGGTAAACCAGGAAGGTCGGGAAGGTAAAATGCTTGAGGAACGACCGCCTCCAGTTGTCGGTGTTTGTCAAAAGATGCCAAACCGGTGTGCCGCTTATTCATGTTCGGAAGGCGAACAATATGCCGGTTGCCAAGTTCGCCTGCGGGTCCGAAGAGTCACCCAGAAGTCTGAAGCATAAATATATTGATGCGATCTAGCGAGCAGCCAACTCGGTGTCAACTACTTCAGGCGCAGTGTTCTCTGGTCTAGTAAAATTGGGAGATCTGCTCGACGGGTCAACCGAACCTACGGATGGCCTGCTTTTCCTGTCGTCGGCGTCGCGCTTGTTTATGTTGGTCTTGTCAAGCATTCCTAGCCGTATAGCCTCTTGGCGACCTCGCTCAAACGCTCGACGTTTTCGACGGCCAGTTCGCCGAACCGTTTGTACGGGGGTCCGAGGAGACCGAGGATGTCAGAACTCGTCCCTATACGGAATCAGCGCTGACGATTTCGACAATGCATTCGGAACGAGACTCCCGGAACCAGCCCTCCTTGAGAATTCAGGAACCAAAGCTCGATCACCATGCATCGACTTAATCTTTATAATTCACAGCATAGCTCCGAGTGTCGAGTGGGATTTGAAATTTCCGAAAGAATCGCCCTGTCTGAACGCAGCCGAGTTTCAAGTTCAAATCTAAATCTGTTTCTCTCTTCCGTCTCATTCAATCGTCACAGTGCGTCATTTACTAGAGCACGACTTTGGTATTTCCAGGTGGTCACGCAAACGGCGGACCTCGATGTCGGACAACAGCGATACCAGAAGCGACACGATGGACGACTGCATGGCCGCACTCGTGCTGATGCGCCTTTCGTGCTCGCCGAAGAGCGCCCGACTTCTGGAATCGGACTCAGGTATGTAGCATGTTCCTTCATTATTTTCCGTGCCGTTTCAAACGACGTCTCCACCGAAACGTTGAACAGCGCGCCGCTCCCACTGTCTAGATCGGGCTCACGACCGACCGACGCAACAGAAACTTGATGAGTATGGCATGAATGAGGAAATTCTCGAGGTTATTCCGAGCTTGAAGCCGCCGCTGCCGGCGGCGTCCTTGCATCCCAAGCAGAGCTCTTGATACATGATGTAAGAACTCCGAGTAATAAGGAGGGGTCCCGTCACCGTCGTCTCCGCCGCTCCTGATGTCGGGCAGGCGGCCCGGCTCGATTCGAAACTAGGTCAGGAGAGAACTCCGAGAAGCCGTCTTCCCATGCGCTTGTGGGCTCCTTGCGAGCCATCCCAGGCAAGCGGGCGGGCGTTCGGACTGGCTGCCTAGTTTTCAGCCTGACCTTGGAGAGCAGGCAGAGCCCATTTCGCCGCCGACCGCGTCCCGGGTCCCCGAGCCTCCGGCTGGGGAGTAGAAAAAGCAAAAACAAGCTCCGATGCTCGGGAGAGAAAACAACTCCGGGCAGAACGCAAGTGTTGCAAGTATGCCGCATTCATAAGCGCTCCGTCGAATCGCGATTTTGTTGCTCCGTATCGAAGCGAGTACCGGTTCGAGATGGTGCCCTCTCATAGGACGTAAACGCCGACTCTGCTCCGAGCCTGACGGCGGAGCTCTTCCTTTTCCCGGCACTGCTGACATTGGGGAAGGATCGCGGAGAAACTGGGTCAGGGCCTTCCTCTCTGCCTCCGTCCGGGCGAGCGAGCGAACCAGCCGGTCGACCACGAGAGGCTCGCCAGGTTGTACACTGATACTCGGCCCGTTTACTCGACCGCTGGCTCGGTTTTCGACCGTCAGAACGTCGCTCGGTCGCACGGAGCTTGGCCTGTAAGATGTCTGCCGCAGACCGATTCAGGACCGACTCGAAGCTACTCGGTCCGGAGCTTATCGGCGACGCGAAGAAAAAAGGTCTTATTGATCAGAATCCGTAAATCTCATCCACCGCATTGGCGGATCAGCTCTTTCGGCCGGTCTACCGTCCGTGATTCATCCTCCCTCTCCGGTCCGGCAGCACAATGGAGACCAACCGAGCTCCCGATTCCATTCTCGGTGAGATCCACCGCGACTGATACTTTTGACGTTCGGAACCCGGGAAATGTCGATGCTCAGAGAAGAGTACGCGAACAGAGCTTCTGATCGATTCCGGGAAGGATTTCAGTGGAATCCGAGATATCCTGGAATCTGAGTTTCGGACTCCCGAGGTACTTCTGCAAGGTCCTGCCCTCATCGCCACTCCGACGTCCCGCAGTATCGTGAGAGAGCGGAAACCAACCGCGCCTGTGTGAAGCTCTGATAGGTATTATATTGTACGTCTGTGTCGGCTCCAATGAGCTGACCTCGTGAAGTCGTTTTACGTCGTTCGAAGTTAGTCCTGAGCGACGACATTGGTTCAATGTCATCGGAGAGTGTGTGCCTGCCCTTGGGAAGCATTCAAGGCCATCCGAGTGAGGGGTTCCGCACAGCCAGCCACCAGCAAGCTCACACACCCACTCGCGCGCCCGCTCGCCCGCTCGCTTGCTCGAACGAGGGCTTGCAAGGCCAGCCTGCCGGCCGGCCTGCCTGCCGGTTGGTGAGCCTGCCTTCCTGCTCGTTCGCCAGTCGGGCACCGTAACCCAGAAAGCGGGACCTTCCCCGGAACTCTCCTCCTACCCCCTGCGTAAATATAGGTCAGGGTCCTCTCGCTCCCGTCAGCCATCCATCCAGCCGGCCGGCCGGCGGGTCGGTCGGCCGAAGAGCCAGCGAGTCGGCAGCCTCTGTTCTCAGCTGGCACGCACGGAACTAAGTTGTCGTGTCCCTGAGTCGTCGTGCCCTGCTTGGCTCGATTGACGCGCGCTGGCTCGGCCGCATCCCCGGCTCCTCCGGGGTATGATTTACTCCGAGCGAGCCACCGCAGGAAGCGGAAATTAAATACATACAAGCAAGCTTACGAGCGCGTACCGAAATAAAAATCACCGACCCGCGAGCCATCGCTGCGGTGACCGGCCGCGGCTCCTAAGTCGACGAATATCATCCAGGTCTATACCTCTCCTCTGCGACAGGTTCGTCTGTCGACCAGCGCCGCGTGAAGAGCCCGTAATGATCGTCGTTTCTGAGACTTTGCTCGGAGCCAAGTGAGCCCTCGAGCGAAAACTCGTCTTGAATGATTCGTTGTCCCTCGAGAGATCCGATACATCAATGTGGTCGCGTTCACGGTCCGTCCCAACAGGAAAGAAGTTCGATTAGAGAGAGGAGACTTAACCGGGAGTCGAGCGCCTGTACAAGACGTCCTGACGGACGAACGATAATAATACGCACGAAGGCTCGGACACCGAGTTCCGGTGAATGATTGATTCAACGAGCATTGACGAGGATGATCCCCCACCGAGTCTCCTCCTCGTAGCTTCGGAGATTCGGTTTTCCGAGCATTCTAAGTCTGCCCATAAAATGGATGAGACGGAAGATCAAATGTCAGATGGAGATGGACAGGCTAGCGAGATGGACGATCGGAAAACCAAGTGAAGGAATCGAAGACGAAATGAAACTAGGAGGGAAGAAGCTCCGAGATTACGGGATACTCGTGGATGAATGGCTGGCTGAAAACGTGGATAGATGAGAGTGGAGCGAGTTCGCTTCTAGTTTAGTTCGCTCGCTCGTACTCTTCTCCTCGGCCTTGACGCAGGAGGGCGAGGGACGATCGATAGGAAGAACGTTGCTGCTGGACTCAACGACCAGCCCCTTGCGAAGGGCGGGCGGGCGAGCGCTCGAACGACCAAAAGACGAGCCGACCCGGAAGACTTGGGGATTCGGCCTTCCATTCCGATCCACAACAGCATGACTGACGCCTTCTCCGATCTAGAGGAGCCTTCGTCCGAAGATCAGGCCGTGAATCTCACATGAACTCGCTCGCACTCCTCCGTCTCTCCGCTAATTCATTCATCTCGTTACGTACCTACTCCCCTGCCGCCCATCCTGCTCCATAGGAAGATTCATTCGAGTATCCCATTCTCCCGAGCGAAATCACCGAAATCGAACCGGGAACGATCGCTACGTGATCGGCTACCCCTTCGAGCTGAAAGTTTCCAAGAACACCGACAGGCTAATTGAACAGACTCGAACGGCAGGATTCTACTTCATCAGCTCCTCGAAGCAGCCACGAGAAGGAGGTGGATTTTAGATGCTGAAAACTTGAGCGCGACCAAATCTAAGTCTGTGAGGGTGACATTCGGAGAAATGTATCAAAGCGCCGGGTCGCTGCATGAATGGCTGGAGTTCCGTCTCGGGACCAGCAGACCGGGCCGAGACGCAATTCCAGGAACTGCGCAGCAGTTTCCCCGCTCCGGGAAGGAGGCCGGTGGCGGCCACCCCACCTCGGCGCTCGTATCCCCTTCCCTCATTTCGTTCAGCGGCCGAGTCTCCTACTACTACTGTGTGGCGGCGGCGGCGGCGGCGGCAGGGAACGCGGAAGTAGTGTGGGCCATCCAAGCAAGCCGAGCCAGCTATTACGCAGTTAGCCCTCCCTCATCCACTCGGCGGCGGCGGCTGCAGGAACGGCGGGCGGGCAAGCAGTCGGGCTCTCGGTCCCCTGTTGTTACACAACGCCGGCTCCACTCTGCAGCTTGCCGGTAGCAGCGGCGGCTGGTGGGTACGGCGACGACGACGAACACGAATCAGCTGGGGACTTGGGAGAGGACCAAATCCTAGACACGGGCCCTCACAGGGTCAAGGGCGCTCGTTCGTATCTGGAAAATGCATAGCTGCGAACAGCGGATGACACCCGAATTCCGCCATCGATACCGCCGCGGCGAGGGTGAATCGTCGAAAACATCGTCCCGGTTCACGATAAAGTCATCATCCTTAATGCCGAGCTGGGGATGAGATCCGAAAAGGGCCATCGACTCCCGGCGCGTCTTACGTCGGAGTATCGGAGGCTATCGCCTGGAAACGCCGGAAAACGTCGGACCTTCTCTGGACACCTTTTCCCAGATGTCCGACTCCGGGGTATCGAAGTCTCGAAAATGATTCACAACCAGATCCGGAGCTCGGGGTGAGCCCGGTTCCATGGATAGGTCCTCACGAGTGATCAGTCTGAGCGGAATACCATTCGGAGGAATCATAATAATTGTTCGCTCTCAACAGTTGGAAAGCGACCGAGCAGGGCCCCTCGACCCTGACACATATCTGGCGAGCAGAGAACTCGTTTCCGGAAGAAATCAGACCATAGGCCGCAACGGTTGACCACCGTGTGGATCTTCACTTCATTCCCGTCTCAAAGGAGTTGAAAGCTCTGCCATTCGGTCCGATTTGAACTGCCGGTTCTGCTGATCGTTTTCCAAAAGCCAGCCAGGAGTCAGTCGACGAGTTCCGTCTTTTCGCGAGCGGAACGTCAAGAACAAGGCAGTCCCTAAGTTCTTGACAGTCGTACGTAAAACGCTCCATTCAGACAGCTGTTTTTTTCCTAGGCAGAGTACGCGTTTGAGAGAGCAGCAGACGGCAGGGCACGTACTTGGCTCGAGGAGGTCTTTCGCTCCGCAATTCTGGCTCCGACCTTGGCTCCCAGACCTTTCGCTCCGCCGGCGAGTTCCAGCGGCGTTGTAGTCTGCGGTCCAAACTTTGCGGCGAGCGGAACGGCTTAGCGACCGCTTCTTAAGATGCTTCGTTCTGATAAAGGTCTTATTTCACCACTGCTGCGCGATGAAACTTCGCGACACTGTTTACACAGACGAGCAGCGCGGAACGAATAATTAGAAGTATGCGGAATCGGATCCTTCCGCGACAACATCTCGCATAAATTCCTGATGTTCCGACGCTAATTATTAGGGTTCTGGGATTGCGACCTTGGTCGACCAAGTTCCAGTCGCAGTAAGTTCTGTGGAAGGCTCAACAAAAAGCTTGCGGCAGAACGCCGTCAAAAGGTCAGACGGGAGCTTTTTAAAA